TTTAGTCGCTCTAGTTAGTAATTAGTCGGGACTTTGAAACCACCTGCGGCTGGCTGGAGAGCCTCGGGCTGGAAGTGTACGTGGCCGCCGCTAAGAACTGGCTGGGCGGGGCGCTAGTTTAGTAGCTAGTTTAGTTTGTAAAGGTCGTGGGATGACTGAGGAGGCCTTTTCATAGTCCGTTGACAAGAGGCCCTCGATAGGTCTAGTTTAGTCGCTCTAGTTAGTAATTTGTCGGGACTTTGAAACCACCTGCGGCTGCTGCGCTTACTGTGTTGGTAAGTCGTAGTACTTATCTAGGATATCTAGGAGTTTCTTTTCAATAAACGCGATTGTTGGATGAGATATACCCAGCTATGGAGTTGTTTTGTGAAGCTCGCGGGGTGGCTAAGGAACTTCTTTTTTCTCCGTGGAGGAGGCTCTCGATAGGTCAAGTTTAGTCGCTCTAGTTAGTAATTAGTCGGGACTTTGAAACCACCTGCGGCTGCTGCGCTTACTGTGTTGGTTAGTAGGTACTTATCTAGGATATCTAGGAGTTTCTTTTCAAAGAACGCGATTGTTGGATGAGATATACCCAGTTATGGAGCTGTTTTGTGAAGCTAGCGGGGTGACTAAGGAACCTCTTTTTTCTCCGTGGATAAGAGGCTCTCGATAGGTCAAGTTCAGTCGCTCTAGTTAGTAATTAGTCGGGACTTTGGAACCACCTGCGGCTGGCTGGAGAGCCTCGGGCTGGAGGTGTACGCGGCCGCCGCCAGGAGCTGGCTGGGCGGGGCGCCGGACGCGCGCGGCGTCATCGCGGCCGCCTCGCCGCAGACCATAGACAAGGAGCTCGCCGTCAAGCACCCGATGCATAAGAAGAAGATTGTGCTGGCGCTTACGGATCTGCTGGTAAGTCGAAGTACTTTTCTAGGATGTCTAGGAGTTTCTTTTCAATAAACGCGATTGTTGCACGAGATATAGGTACCCTGCTATGGACCTAGTTTGTTTAGCTCGTGACGTCACTGAGGACGCCTCTTCATAGTCGGTTGATAAGAAGCTTTCGATAGGTCTAGTTTAGTCGCTCTAGTTAGTAATTTGTTGGGACTTTGAAACCACCTGCGGCTGCTGCGCTTACTGTGTTGGTAAGTCGTAGTAGGTACTTATCTAGGATATCTTGAAGTTTCTTTTCAATAATCGCGATTGTTGGATGAGATATACCCAACTATGGAACTAGTTTGTATAGCTCGTGACGTCACTGAGGACGCCTCTTCATAATCGGTTGACAAGAAGCTCTCGATAGGTCAAGTTTAGTCGCTCTAGTTAGTAATTTGTCAAGACTTTGAAACCACCTGCGGCTGCTGCGCTTACTGTGTTGTTAAGTCGTAGTAGGTACTATCTGGGATATTTAGGAGTTTCTTTTCAATAAACGCGATTGTTGGATGAGATATACCCAGCTATGGAGCTAGTTTGTAAAGCTAGTGAGGTGACTGAGGAGTCTCTTCTTTCTTCGTGGACAAGAAACTCTCGATAGATCAAGACGTTTAGTCGCTCTAGTTAGTAATTAGTCAGGACTTTGAAACCACCTGCGGCTGGCTGGAGAGCCTCGGGCTGGAGGTGTACGCGGCCGCCGCCAGGAGCTGGCTGGGCGGGGCGCCGGACGCGCGCGGCGTCATCGCGGCCGCCTCGCCGCAGACCATAGACAAGGAGCTCGCCGTCAAGCACCCGATGCACAACAAGAAGAAGATTGTGCTGGCGCTTACGGATCTGTTGGTGAGCTAGCGATGTCTAGGAGAAAATGTCTTGAGACATGAGGCTCAAGCTATTTAGTTAGATAGTTTGTAAAGATTGCGGGGTCATTGAAATCGCTTTCGTTGTCCATTGACAAGAAGCTCACGCTGATTCAATATAAGTTTTTTATATAGCTTAGAGCAGTGTTTTTCAACCTTTTTCATGACGCGACCCTAGCATGAAAAAAAATTTTGCGGCCCCCCGACCGTCTGCTTTTTTTTCATGCCTTTTACAAAGATGTTGTAGGGAACGAATTCTTCAATCTATACAACATTTATGCATTTGCTAATTAGATTTCGGATAAATCTAGCTTGTAAACTTGTCTGGTTACAGAGCCCCCTACAGAGGCTTCGCGACCCCCCAGGGGGTTAGAGCTTAGAGCCTTTAAGCAGCGTCGACGTCGTCTTGACGGCGCTTTCCGCCTCTCCACTGGTCAAATTGAATCCGCTGTGCGATACGAGAGCTTAGATTTTTATGCGACGACTGAGCACACTGTATGGCATAAGAAATAGACTCGCGAGACGAGGCGGGGAAAGGATGTATTATGTGCGACTCAGCAGTGGCACCACTTTTGTTTGCGTTGTAGAGGAAATGGCGCACATGCGCAATAGCTTTCGTTGCCGTTGCAACACTAAATACAGCCAGTGTATACGCCAGCGCGGCGAGATCTTTGCAGCGCGGTTGCAATGACCCCTAGAAAATGATATGAAATATTTAAATATTTAATTGGTGATTGTCATCAGGGTGGTCACGGCGACCCGATGCTGACGGCATCAGGTCAACTGGACACGGCGTGGGCGCTGCGCTGGTTAGAAGACATCGGCGTGTGCGGAGCCCGCGGGGCCGCCAGCGAGGCCGCGTTAGACGGCCGCCTGCTGCACCGCTTGTCACACAGCGAGCTGCACGCGCACCTGCGTGTCACGCACGCCTTGCACGCGCTGTCCATACGCCGCGGTGAGTAGTAGTGTCGCTAGTCTCGTATAAGCGGGATACTAAAGCCCGGTCGCCGAGCACGTAGAATTTCGTCAATGACCCCACACTCACTGCGGCCGCCCGTCGCACAGTCGCGACAGCAATATAATTACGCGCGAGCGATAAGGATGGGTAGATTGGGGTCATTGGACGAAATTCTACGTGCTCGGCGACCGGACTATAGTATCAGAGGCAGCTGGACACGGCGTGGGCGCTGCGCTGGTTGGAAGACATCGGCGTGTGCGGAGCCCGCGGGGCCGCCAGCGAGGCCGCGTTAGACGGCCGCCTGCTGCACCGCTTGTCACACAGCGAGCTACACGCGCACCTACGCGTCACCCACGCCTTGCACGCGCTGTCCATACGCCGCGGTGAGTAGTAGTGTCGCTAGTCTCGTATAAGCGGGACACTAGTGTGGGGGCAGTTGGATACGGCGTGGGCGCTGCGCTGGCTGGAAGACACGCCCGAGGGGCGGCAAGCGAGGCCGCGTTAGACGGCCGCCTGCTGCACCGCCTGGCGCACAGCCGCCGGGTACTCATCTAGCCGTGTAGCATGTGATGTATCAGATACTGTATCAAGAGCCCGCTGCTCGCTGCTCGCGCGTGGTTCGCAGGGAGATCGTAGCGACCCGCCGAGTGGCGGTATCACTGCGCACAAAGGCAGCTCGCAGTAGGATTCAGGAGCTCGCAGCCAGATACGCGATGACCGTGCACGAGCCGTACTCACTTGAAGGTTGGTTACGTAATACGTTACATGCTACGTTACGTGCTACATGGCAGGTGAGTACCCTGCCTAGTGTATAAGCTGGACACTAGTGCCGGGGCAGCTGGACACGGCGTCGGTTAGAAGACATCGGCGTGTGCGGAGCCCGCGGGGCCGCCAGCGAGGCCGCGCTGGACGGCCGCCTGCTGCACCGCTTGTCACACAGCGAGCTACACGCGCACCTACGCGTCACGCACGCCTTGCACGCGGTGTCCATACGCCGCGGTGAGTAGTAGTGTCGCTAGTGTCGTATAAACGGGATACTAAAGCCCGGTCGCCGAGCACGTAGAATTTCGTCAATGACCCCACANAGTCACCGTTAACTGTGAAATGGCTTAATCGTTAACTTCACTGTTGCGATTTCTAACATAATACTCGTCTCGGTTAACCCAACGGGATGGTGGTGGTGTGGCGCCTAGGTCGATAGCAACGCTTGCACGAGACACGCTAAAACCAAATTCCTTGCTCGTTGCCGGCTGCCATCTTCATTTTTGAACAAATTTCTTAGCCGCGTCTACACTGGGAGCGTCTTGAAAGGCACGCTCGACATCCTACTGGCTCGTGCTCATGCCACACAAGCCAATGCGTCCGGTGTGCATGCGACTTTAGAGACTACAAAATTTTGGCGTTTGACGAAAGACTTGCTAAAGATGCGTGGAACCGGGTATTGATGATTCGGAGTCTTTTTCTTAAATGATAAACTGTAAAGAATATATCGGTCAGTTAAAACAGAAACCCGTAAAAGCTCTGAATTAAATTGTAGTTGCCTCATTTGGTAACTGCATGCATAAGAACAATCAAATTACCTAACGTTTGTCTTGAAGAAAACACGTTCTTAAAATGTGTTACGATTTTTAAAGAGTTTAAAGTAGAAAATTATGTGAAATACTGTGGGACCTAGTGACTGAATGATTTTCATGCCTACACTCAGGAGACAACCTAAGACCAGAATTTTCATAACTCCTATTTGGAATCAAAGATGGCAGCCCTACTCGTGTCTAATACAGTCTCTCACCCCGGCTTGGCCTATTCTTGTTGTACTGTGTCTAACGAGTGACCCGCATGCCGATCCCACCAGTACATGTGGAAAATCCTATAGTTAGCCAAATATTTTAACTGCTTAGTAATTGATTTATCCTTTGCTCAAAAATTAAGCTATAAATAATTAATACTCACTCAAAAATTAAGTTATAATTATTTAACACAAAGTTTATTAGCTTTATGTGTCCGTAAAATAGTTTTTTAGTTGCATGTTAAAATTATATTGACTCTATCACGATAATACAATGTCTTATGAGAATACTCAAGTCTCTCTCCCTTATGAGAATCTTGAAGCCACGATAGCCACCTGCCTGTAAATATTAATAAAATTCGACTTCCTGCCTGTAAATATTAATAAAATATTGTTATAAAAAATTTAGACAACATATTCATAAAGCAAATCTCACCTACTGGAGACCGTTATTTGTACTTTTTACTCATCTACCGAACCTTAAAACCTACAGCGGAGAAAGAGGAAGCAATACCGCGTGGCAGTCCGTCCCCCTCGCTCAGAGAAGTGCGATCGCGACTCGGCAGCGGCGGCGGCGGGATTCGGTTGGAAGGAGACGACATTGCGCGCGCGTCGATACGATCCACGGGACCGCGGCCGAGGATGACTCCTATGCCTTGGTAAGGAACTATTGTAGAGTACTGAGTACACTACGGCAAGAATCATAATGGAAGTAGGAAAGAGGAGGCAATACCGCGCGGCAGACCGTCTCTCTCACTCAGAGAAGTGCGATCGCGACTCGGTAGGAGTTTGAAGGAGACGACATTGCGCGCGCGTCGATAAGATCTACGGGACCCCGGCCGAGGATGACTCCTATGCCTTGGTAAGGAACTATTCTAGTAGATACTAAACGGGTGAGAATCGTAAAGGAAGTAAGCAGGAAAGAGAAGGCAATACCGCGCGGCAGTCCGTCCCCCTCGCTCAGAGGCAGTGGCGGCGACGGGATTCGGTTGGAAGGAGACGATATTGCGATACGGTCTACGGGACCGCGGCCGCGGATGACTCCTATGCCTTGGTAAGGAACTATTGTAGAATATACTACGGGCGAGGATCATAATGAAGTGAGTAGGAAAGAGAAAGTAACATCGAGGGGCAGTCTGTCGCGCTCGCTCAGAGAAGTTCGCTCGCGACTCTGCAGTGACAGCAGCCTTGGTAAGGAACGATAAAAGTTGAACACTCGACAGTAAATTTCTGTGGGACTATTACAAGGAACAGTGGAACTGATCCATAGAATACTATTTCATATTATTCGTAGGCATTTTTTGCAAAATTCTTTTGTAGATTTCGAATGAGAAATTCGTACGAGTATGTTACTTGTTTTTTTTTAGGCAAACAACAGACCTACGACAATGGGACTGCGAAACCACCTGCGGCTGGCTGGAGAGCCTCGGGCTGGAGGTGTACGCGGCCGCCGCCAGGAGCTGGCTGGGCGGGGCGCCGGACGCGCGCGGCGTCATCGCGGCCGCCTCGCCGCAGACCATAGACAAGGAGCTCGCCGTCAAGCACCCGATGCATAAGAAGAAGATTGTTCTGGCGCTTACGGATCTGTTGGTAAGTGTATTTTGTCTAGGAGTTTCTTAGTAAGAAACGCGTTTGTTGCATGAGATATACCCAGCTATGGAGCTGTTTTGTGAAGCTCGCGGGGTGACTAAGGAACCTCTTTTTTCTCCGTGGAGAAGTTTAGTCGCTCTAGTTAGTAATTTGTCAAGACTATGAAACCACCTGCGGCTGCTGCGCTTACTGTGTTGGTAAGTCGTAGTAGGTACTATCTGGGATATTTAGGAGTTTCTTTTCAATAAACGTGATTGTTGGATGAGATATTACCCAGCTATGGAGCTAGTTTGTAAAGCTAGTGAGGTGACTGAGGAGTCTCTTCTTTCTTCGTGGACAAGGTCTCTCAATAGGTCAAGTGTAGTTGCCCTTATAGTTAGTAATTAGTCGGGACTTTGGAACCACCTGCGGCTGGCTGGAGAGCCTCGGGCCCGAAGTGTATTTTTTACCTAGGAGTTTCTTAATAATAAACGCGTTTGTTGCATGAGATATACCCAGTTATAGAGCTATTTTGTGAAGCTCGTGGGGTGACTAAGGAGCATGTTTTCTCCGTGGACAAGAGTCTCTCGATAGGTCAAGTTTAGTCGCTCTAGTTAGTAATTAGTCGGCAATTTGAAACCACGTGCGGCTGGCTGGAGAGCCTCGGGCTGGAGGTGTACGCGGCCGCCGCCAGGAGCTGGCTGGGCGGGGCGCCGGACGCGCGCGGCGTCATCGCGGCCGCCTCGCCGCAGACCATAGACAAGGAGCTCGCCGTCAAGCACCCGATGCATAAGAAGAAGATTGTGCTGGCGCTTACGGATTTGTTGGTAAGTGTATTTTGTCTAGGAGTTTCTTTGTAATAAACGCGTTTGTTACATGAGGAATACGCAGCTATGGAACTAGTTTGTTTAGCTCGTGACGTCACTGAGGACGCCTATTCATAGTCGGTTGACAAGAAGCTCACGATAGGTCAAGTTTAGTCGCTCTAGTTAGTAATTTGTCAAGACTTTGAAACCACCTGCGGCTGCTGCGCTTACAGTGTTGGTAAGTCGTAGTAGGTACTATCTGGGATATTTAGGAGTTTTTTTTCAATAAACGTGATTGTTGGATGAGATATTACCCAGCTATGGAGCTAATTTGTAAAGCTAGTGAGGTGACTGATGAGTCTCTTCTTTCTTCGTGGACAAGGTCTCTCAATAGGTCAAGTGTAGTTGCCCTTATAGTTAGTAATTAGTCGGGACTTTGAAACCACCTGCGGCTGGCTGGAGAGCCTCGGGCTGGAAGTGTATTTTGTCTAGGAGTTTCTTAGTAATAAACGCGTTTGTTGGATGAGATATACCCAACTATGGAGCTATTTTGTGAAGCTCGTGGTGTGACTAAGGAGCCTTTTTTCTCAGTGGAGGAGACTCTCGATAGGTCTAGTTTAGTCGCTCTAGTTAGTAATTAGTCGGGACTTTGAAACCACCTGCGGCTGCTGCGCTTACTGTGTTGGTAAGTCGGACTAAGGAGCCTTTTTTCTCCGTGGATAAAAGGTTATCGATAGGTCAAGTTTAGTCGCTCTAGTTAGTAATTAGTCGGGACTTTGGAACCACCTGCGGCTGGCTGGAGAGCCTCGGGCTGGAGGTGTACGCGGCCGCCGCCAGGAGCTGGCTGGGCGGGGCGCCGGACGCGCGCGGCGTCATCGCGGCCGCCTCGCCGCAGACCATAGACAAGGAGCTCGCCGTCAAGCACCCGATGCATAAGAAGAAGATTGTTCTGGCGCTTACGGATTTGCTGGTAAGTCGTAGTACTTATCTAGGATGTCTAGGAGTTTCTTTTCAATAAACGCGATTGTTGCACGAGATATAGGTACCCTGCTATGGACCTAGTTTGTTTAGCTCATGACGTCACTGAGGACGCCTCTTCATAGTCGGTTGATAAGAAGCTTTCGATGGTCAAGTTTAGTCGCTCTAGTTAGTAATTTGTCGGGACTTTGAAACCACCTGCGGCTGCTGCGCTTACTGTGTTGGTAAGTCGTAGTACATCTAGGATATCTACGAGTTTCTTTTCAATAAACGCGATTGGTGGATGAGATATACCCAGCTATTTTGTGAAGCTCATGTCACCACGCGAGCTTTACAAAATAGGCTCTCAATAGGTCAAGTTTAGTCGCTCAGTTAGTAATTAGTCGGGACTTTGAAACCACCTGCGGCTGGCTGGAGAGCCTCGGGCTGGAGGTGTACGCGGCCGCCGCCAGGAGCTGGCTGGGCGGGGCGCCGGACGCGCGCGGCGTCATCGCGGCCGCCTCGCCGCAGACCATAGACAAGGAGCTCGCCGTCAAGCACCCGATGCATAAGAAGAAGATTGTTCTGGCGCTTACGGATTTGTTGGTAAGTGTATTTTGTCTAGGAGTTTCTTAGTAAGAAACGCGTTTGTTGCATGAGATATACCCAGCTATGGAGCTGTTTTGTGAAGCTCGCGGGGTGACTAAGGAACCTCTTTTTTCTCCGTGGAGAAGTTTAGTCGCTCTAGTTAGTAATTTGTCAAGACTTTGAAACCACCTGCGGCTGCTGCGCTTATTGTGTTGGTAAGTCGTAGTACTTATCTAGGATATCTAGGAGTTTCTTTTCAATAAACGCGATTGTTGGATGAGATATACCCAACTATGGAACTATTTTGTATAGCTCCTGGGGTCACTTAAGACCACTCTTCATAGTCCGTGGACAAGAGGCTCTCGATAGGTCAAGTTTAGTCGCTCTAGTTAGTAATTAGTCGGGACTTCGAAACCACCTGCGGCTGGCTGGAGAGCCTCGGGCTGGAGGTGTACGCGGCCGCCGCCAGGAGCTGGCTGGGCGGGGCGCCGGACGCGCGCGGCGTCATCGCGGCCGCCTCGCCGCAGACCATAGACAAGGAGCTCGCCGTCAAGCACCCGATGCATAAGAAGAAGATTGTGCTGGCGCTTACGGATCTGTTGGTAAGTTCTAGTATTTTGTCTGGGAGTAAAGTCTTTGGAATAAACGCGGTTGTTGCACGATATGCTATGAAGCAAGAAGCTGCGGGCTTGGACCATCGACAAGGAGCTCGCCGTCAAGCACCCGATGCATAATGATGGATGGATTTAGGACGCTATTTGGATCAAATATGTAATTGCTCAATAATGAATAATAAATAAATAAATAAATAAATAAATAAATAAGAAGAAGATTGTGCTGGCGCTTACGGATCTGTTGGTCAGTTAGCGATGTCTATGAGGCTCAAGTTCTCGAGCTAGTTTGTAAAGCTTGCGGGGTCATTGAAATCGCTTTCGTTGTCCATTGTCAAGAGGCTCACGCTGATTCAAGATAAGTTTTTTACATAGCTTAAGAGCCTTTAAGCAGCGTCGAATCGATGTCTTGACGGCGCTTTCCGCCTCTCCACTGGTCAAATTGAATCCGCTGTGCGATACGAGAGCTTAGATTTTTATGCGACGACGGAGCGCACTGTATGGCATAAGAAATAGACTCGCGAGACGAGGCGGGGAAAGGATGTATTATGTGCGACTCAGCAGTGGCACCACTTTTGTTTGCGTTGTAGAGGAAATGGCGCACATGCGCAATAGCTTTCGTTGCCGTTGCAACACTAAATACAGCCCGTGTATACGCCAGCGCGGCGAGATCTTTGCAGCGCGGTTGCAATGACCCCTAGAAAATGATATGAAATATTTAAATATTTAATTGGTGATTGTCATCAGGGTGGTCACGGCGACCCAATGCTGACGGCATCAGGTCAACTGGACACGGCGTGGGCGCTGCGCTGGTTAGAAGACATCGGCGTGTGCGGAGCCCGCGGGGCCGCCAGCGAGGCCGCGTTAGACGGCCGCCTGCTGCACCGCTTGTCACACAGCGAGCTACACGCGCACCTGCGCGTCACCCACGCCTTGCACGCGCTGTCCATACGCCGCGGTGAGTGTAGTGTCGCTAGTCTCGTATAAGCGGGACACTAGTGTGGGGGCAGTTGGATACGGCGTGGGCGCTGCGCTGGCTGGAAGACACGCCCGAGGGACGGCAAGCGAGGCCGCGTTAGACGGCCGCCTGCTAAACCGCCTGGCGCACAGCCGCCGGGTACTCATCTAGCCGTGTAGCATGTGATGTATCAGATACTGTATCAAGAGCCCGCTGCGAGCTGCTCGCGCGTGGTTCGCAGGGTGATCGTAGCGACCCGCCGAGTGGCGGTATCACTGCCAGCACAAAGGCGGCTCGCAGTAGGATTCAGGAGCTAGACTTTCACTAGAGTCGGGGCACGTCACGACACCACTGAGTAGGAGTTAGACTCGCGTTCGGCCTTGCTCGTTAGAATGTCTTTCCTCCTGAAATACCTAGACGAGTAGACAGTAGACACCCTTCTTTTCAGTACTTAGGAATAACCTCTTAAAGAGTGTTCTTTAAGAGGTAGTTGTGTAACTATCTTCATCGCTGTAAACATAATTACTTTTCTAACTATCCGTAAATTAGAATTTGACATCAGTAAATAAGAAAGTCAACTGAGTCCAAAAAGTGACGCCTTTTCGCCTTTGGGTTGCCATTATATCGCATTTTGACAGCTCTAACTAAAGTGTCAAACGACTATTAGTGTCAACTACCCTCAGATTGCACTACCTTAGATGATTGATTTTGCATTTCCTAGTGTTGTATTTATTAATATTGAACCCTATTTACCGATTCAGCAGATCTACACTAGTATGTAGTTACGTCTCTAGTTAATAGACAAATCGCTCTATGTCGCCATCTTATTGTCTGTGGTAATCTCTCTGCAATAAAACTGCGTCTGCTAAATTTAAACTATTTTTATTTAAATTCATCACCTAGTATCCTTAGTGTTTTCTCTAATTCCAAAAATTCTCATCTTTACAGGCATCCAAGTCCTCCGCGAGAACAAATTCAACCCGGAGACGATGATCCGGCGAGCCGTGGAGGGCGAAGCGACAGGCGGCGAGGACGGCGAGCCGGCGACTGGGCTGGCGCGCTGGTCCTCGCACCGCGTCATGCAGTGGCTCAAGGAAATTGACCTGGCGGAATACGCGCCGAACCTCCGTGGAGCAGGTGACGTCACGTTGATTCTATTTTCAAATTGCTCCTTGAAAGAAGCGACCAAAGAGTCCCACGTAACCGTATGGATTCTTTGGTAACTGCCAGTAGGTAATAGCTTCGTCATGCAGTGGCTAAAAGAGGTTGACTTTGCCGATACTTGCCCAACCTGCATGGATTTCCAGGCTGCCAGTACGTTATAGCCTCGTCATGCGGTGGTTAAAAGTGGTCGACTTTGCGGAATACGCACTTAACCTCCGTGGATCAGGTGATGTCACGTTATTTAGATTATGATCCGGCGAGCCGTGGAGGGCGAAGCGACGGGCGGCGAGGACGGCGAGCCGGCGACAGGGCTGGCGCGCTGGTCCTCGCACCGCGTCATGCAGTGGCTCAAGGAAATTGACCTGGCGGAATACGTGCCGAATCTCCGTGGAGCAGATGACGTCACGTTGATTCTATTTTCAAATTGCTCCTTAAAAGAAGCGACCAAAGAGTCCCACGTAACCGTATGGATTCTTTGGTAACTGCCAGTAGGTAATAGCTTCGTCATGCAGTGGCTAAAAGAGGTTGACTTTGCCGAGACTTGCCCAACCTGCATGGAACTCCTGGCTGCCAGTACGTTATTACCTCGTCATGCGGTGGTTAAAAGAGGTTGACTTTGCGGAATACGCACTTAACCTCCGTGGAACAGGTGATGTCACTTTGTTGAGACGATGATCCGACGAGCCGTGTAGGATGAAGCGACAGGCGGCGAGGACGGCGAGCCGGCGACTGGGCTGGCGCGCTGGTCCTCGCACCGCGTCATGCAGTGGCTCAAGGAAATCGACCTGGCCGAGTATGCGCCGAACCTCCGTGGAGCAGGTGACGTCACAGAAGAAAATATAATTCTACATTCAAATCTGACAGGTTATTTGGGATTCTTTTGTTAACTGCCAGTATGTAATAGCCTCGTCATGCGGTGGTTAAAGCCTAACCTCCGTGGAGCAGGTGACGTCACGTTTTTACTCTTTTATAAACTGCCAGTAGGTAATAGCCGAGTCGTGCAGTGGCTGAAGTAATCTATTTTACGGAATACGTCGCCAATCTCGCGGAATATGTGACGTCACGTGTTATGTAGGACTCCTGGCTGCTAATACGTTGTAGCCTCGTTATGTAGGACTCCTGGCTGCTAATACGTTGTAGCTCGTTATGTAGGACTCCTGGNCCCCACATTTACTGCGGCCGCCCGTCGCACAGTCGCGACAGCAATATAATTACGCGCGAGCGATAAGGATGGGTAGATTGGGGTCATTGGACGAAATTCTACGTGCTCGGCGACCGGACTATAGTATCAGAGCAGCTGGATACGGCGTGGGCGCTGCGCTGGTTAGAAGACATCGGCGTGTGCGGCGCCCGCGGGGCCGCCAGCGAGGCCGCGCTGGACGGCCGCCTGCTGCACCGCTTGTCACACAGCGAGCTACACGCGCACCTGCGCGTCACGCACGCGCTGCACGCGCCGTCCATACGCCGCGGTGAGTGAACACCTTTCTCATCACAAAAATCGACGAAGGTCGGTACCATACGGCCGCAGCGTATGACAACGTGGCCACGTAAATGCCTGCGTACAGCACACTAGTGTGGGAGCAGTTGGATACGGCGTGGGCGCTGCGCTGATTGGAAGACATCGACGTATGAGGCGCCCGAGGGGCGGCAAGCTTGTCCTAAGTCCGCCTGACTAGCTACCACCATCTTACCTAAGTCTGTCGCCATAACAACAATGTTAACAGCATTGTTGTGTTCCGGCAGTTAGAGGTAAGATAGCCAGTTCCTCCGTGGTTGAGGATTCCGGGTGAAACTCGCTTCCACCTTCGGCCTGATCGTCACTTACCATCAGGTGAGATACAGGCCAAAAGCTTCCTCGTTGTGGATTAAAAAAAAAAGCGAGGCCGCGCTGTACGGCCGCCTGCTGCACCGCCTGGCGCACAGCGAGCTGTCCATACGCCGCGGTGAGTGTAGAGCAGAGTACTCACCTAGCCGTGTAGCATGTGATGTATCAGATACTGTATCAAGAGCCCGCTGCGAGCTGCTCGCGCGTTGTTCGCAGGGAGATCGTAGCGACCCGCCGAGTGGCGGCATCATTGCGAGCACAAAGGCGGCTCGCAGTAGGATTCAGGAGCTCGCAGCCAGATACGCGATGACCGTGCACGAGCCGTACTCACTTGAAGGTTGGTTACGTAATACGTTACCTAAGTTACGTGCTACATGGCAGGTGAGTACCCTGCCTAGTGTCGTATAAGCGGAACACTAGTGTCGGGGCAGCTAGACCCAGCGCTGGTTAGAAGACATCGGCCTGTGCGGTGCCCGAGGGGCCGCGAGCGAGGCCGCGCTGGACGGCCGCCTGCTGCACCGCTTGTCACACAGCGAGCTACACGCGCACCTGCGTGTCACGCACGCCTTGCACGCGCTGTCCATACGCCGCGGTGAGTGTAGAGCAGAGTACTCATCTAGCCGTATAAAGCCTGGTCCGTGAGCACGTAGAATTTTGTCCAATAACCCCAAGCTACCCATCCTTATCGCTCGCGCGTAATAATATTGCTGTCGCGACTGTGCGACGAGCGCCCGCAGTGAGTGTGCGAGTGCGACAGCAACATGAAATACCTAGACGAGTAGACAGTAGACACCCTTCTTTTCAGTACTTAGGAATAACCTCTTTAAGAGTGTTCTTTAAGAGGTAGTTGTGTAACTATCTTCATCGCTGTAAACATAATTACTTTTCTAACTATCCGTAAATTAGAATTTGACATCAGTAAATAAGAAAGTCAACTGAGTCCAAAAAGTGACGCCTTTTCGCCTTTCCAGGGTTGCCATTATATTGCATTTTGACAGCTCTAACTAAAGTGTCAAACGACTATTAGTGTCAACTACCCTCAGATTGCACACTACCTTAGATGATTGATTTTGCATTTCCCAGTATCCTTATTTATTTTCTCTAATTTCAACAACTCATTGCATCTTTACAGGCATCCAAGTCCTCCGCGAGAACAAATTCAACCCGGAGACGATGATCCGGCGAGCCGTGGAGGGCGAAGCGACAGGCGGCGAGGACGGCGAGCCGGCGACAGGGCTGGCGCGCTGGTCCTCGCACCGCGTCATGCAGTGGCTCAAGGAAATTGATCTGGCGGAATACGCGCCGAACCTCCGCGGAGCAGGTGACGTCACTTTATTGTAGAAAAAAAACCTATTCTATTTTCAAATTCGCTCTAGGAGGAAACTAATAAACCAATAGTCCCACCTCTTGCAAACAGCCAATAAGTGATAGCCGTGTCGTGATATGGTGACGTGGCTGAAGGAGTTGATTTTGCGGAATACGCCGCCAATCTCGCGGAGCAGGTGACGTCACGTGTTATGTAGAACTCCTGGCTGCCAGTACGTTGTAGCCTCGTCATGTAGTGGTTGAAAGAGATCGACTTCTTTGAGCCTTCGTGGAGCAGGTGACGTCACTTTCTGTAGACAATGTACTGGCGGGTGGTGGATGGCGAGCCGTGGCGAGGCGAGGGCTCAAGCGCGCTGGTCCTCGCACCGCGTCATGCAGTGGCTCAAGGAGATTGACCTGGCCGAATACGCGCCCAACCTCCGCGGAGCAGGTGACCGCACAGAAAAATTAAAAATTCCTTTTTCAAATCTGACAGGTTATGTAGAATTATTTTGTGAACTGCCAGTACGTAATAGCTAGCCTCTCCATGCGGTGGTTAAAAGAGGTCGACTTTGCGGAGTACACGCCCAACCTCCGCGGAGCAGGTGACGTCACAGAAAGATGAAAAATTTAATGGCCAGTACACTCCATAGCCTCGATAAGCTACCACGCTCTTGCGAATAAATGAATGTGTGCAAGCGAGACGAATCTAAACACAAACAAATCTTAGCTTTATGAATGACGAATTGTTATAATTTCGTTACAGGAGTCCATGGAGGCCTTATGTTATTAGAACCACGCTTCACAGCAGAGCTTCTAGCGGCGTTACTAAACATCCCCGCCAACAAAACCTTATTACGGCGGCATCTAACGCAGAGGTAATATAACATCATCTGAATTCAGTATTTTATCTCACATATAAATATTTTGTCCGTTTCTGATAATTTATATTTGTGCATTTTCAGATTTAACGACTTATTAGGCAGGGATGTGATACAGCAGAAGAGAAATGCGGAACAAACCCTAGGCTACCAGCCTTTGACCGCGACAACCAAATACAAGGTTAGAAACTATTCCTTATTAATATTGCTCACGGATTTTAACAACTGGTGAGTGCAGATACTATGAATATGAATATCATTGCATTTGCATTCACTGTACAATCCGATCGAGTTAACTGCAGCCGTGACGTCACATCGAACGGGACGAACGCAAGGAGGTTTGCGTGTGAGGGCGCGAGGGAGAGTTTCATTCAAGTGTGGTGCGCAGTTAGCTAGATTGGATTGTAGACGAGCTAGAGTAAGGTCCTGTCACTCGTGGACGAATGTTCAATATTAGCGCAGTAACTCGCGGCTTCTTTTCAATGGCCCAGAAGGCCCCGTCGAATTTTAGTTGGTAGGCCCCGCACAAAGCATTATCTTATGCAAAAAAAAGGTCTTGTCACTCGCTAGTAGCGCAAATACTCGTAGCTCATTCCTCGTCCCTTCCCCTTCCAGGTACCAAAGAAGAGCCAGTTCTCTCTAAAGCGCAAGAAGAGCAAAGACGAGCTTGACCTGGTGGACCTGGTGTGTCCGCTGCACGACGACTGCTCAGGTGACGCTCCCACCTCGCCAGTAAGTCGCCCACTAACAACACTAATATTGCGTGCGACTGGTCACTTCAAACATTGCGAAACATCTTATACAGGGTGTTAGGTAAATGGGTATATGAGCCGACACTAGCCCATGTTAACATATGCATATAAATGGTATGGCGAAGTCAGAAATGGCAATGCCAGATTTTGTATGGAAGGTGGCGTCTTTTTTTTTTCACGCGGCCATCGACCAAACTTTGTTTTTTGATTACAAAATAGTGTAATAAACCAAACTTACTATGGCATGTATACCTCTAAACTCAGTCTGAACTGAGTTACGAGCATTAGAAGTTTGATGATTTTCATACTAGATTTGCTTTTTGTGCGCAAGTTTTGTAAGAAATTGCAACAAAATATTGCGCTATTTTTTTATTGCGCTGATTCTGCTCTATACTGATGTCTGGAGCCTTTAATGGATGGTATTGTTTGTTTACACATACAATCTCACTAGTTTGTTGCAATTTCTTACAAAACTTTGCGCGCAAAAAGCAAGTCTAGTATGAAAATCATCAAACTTCTAATGCTCGTAACTCAGTTCAGACTGAGTTTAGAGGTATACATGTCATAGTAAGTTTGGTTTATTACACTATTTTGTAATCAAAAAACAAAGATTGGTCGATGGCCGCGCGAAATAAAAAAGACGCCAATTTCCGGCATTGTCATTTGATATCATCATTTTAATTTTTTAAATGTTCATAAAAATAAAATTTATAAAATCAGATTTGTATGAAAATTAAAATAATTAAAATGGTGATATCAATTTTCTGACTTCACCATACCATTTATATGCATATGTTAACATGGGCTAGTGTCGGCTCATATACCCATTTACCTAACACCCTGTAAAACAAAAATAAACCGGGCAACCTGGCTTCATTTTACTAAAAATACGAAAAATAATCTTTAATGAAGCCGAACCAAGTTAGGTTCTGAAAAAATTTTTCCGAAAAAAAAAAGTAATAAACGATGGAGAATGAAAAAGATCATCAACATTTGATTGGCGATCAGTTTACTTTTAATCAATCAATGCCAGCATTTTTGTTTTAAGACATTTTCCATTTCCACCTCTGGTTCCTATTAATAAATAAATTGCCCTTTTTTTCGAAAGCGGAGAATCTTTTTGAAATAATTCATGGTTGAAGTGATCTGTTGTACTTATTTTGTGGTATAGCTAGTTGAGTAATATGTTTGATTTTAGCATTTTATGAACGACAAATAATTAGATGTGTTATGTACAAACGACGGCAAATCAAGCTAACGGTAGAAGAAACTGTGCAAGATAAATGTATAGTTTGATTTGCTGCCGGTTGTACGTGACATGTAATTAATTAAATGTATTGTAAATATCCGTGTAAGTTGTTAACTGCAGGCACTTCATTCTACCTCGTTATTTTACGTTTATCTACGGCATGTCCCACTGCAGCGTAAGTTTATAAAAAAGTAGCTTCATTTTGTTGCTTAGGTTTTTTAGTTTGAAAAATAACGCACAATTTGTGAATACTTGCACCTAAAAGTAAGTAGAATTCGTTTGGTGTTTGTGGTTTTAACAAATTTAACCAGGGTTGATAACAACGGTAGCGGACAGTAAGCCTTTAGAAACTTAACGGTGTGGGTGTTTTTTACTTATTGTTCTACAACTAAATACAAGAATAACGGTAAGTTATGAATGATGTTAAGTAAAATTTATTAATTTCAAAAATTTAAGTGTTCAATGGTATTTTAAGGTAGATAAAAAGCCAAATTACTGCAGTAATTTTATTCAATTCGATCGAAAATGACATACTTTATATTTGTCCGCCATTCAACAGAGAAATTGGCTGAGATCTAAAGGTCAGCTAAGGAACTTAGTAGATATTTTTAGTCACCAAATAATTTAGACTACAATCACGATGTTAAATTCCCCAATATTCCTATCACATAGCATAGTTCTAAAACTGTTTGTCGACAATTTCAGACGATGAAAGTAAAATCAGCAACAGCGGGCGTCGCGTCGGCTGTCTCTCCCCCGCGTGACGACGCGCGCGCACAATAGCGCCGCCTACCGCCCCCTTACCGGTAGGTAAACTAACCTATCAGTACAGCTAAAGCCTGGTCCGTGAGCACGTAGAATTTTGTCCAATGACCCCAAGCTACCCATCCTTATCGCTCGCGCGTAATTATGTTGCTGTCGCGCTCGCACACTCACTGCGGGCGCACGTCGCACAGTCGCGACAGCAATGTAAATAAGCTTGGGGACAAAATTCTACGTGCTCACGGACCAGGCTTTAGCACGAAAAACTTTCTAATCGTTTGAGTATTCAAATCGCCATCAAGAGTACCAAAACTACAACAGCGCCTTTGTGAACGTGTCGTAAAGTGAACTTAGCATGAGAAATGGTTGCACGAAACTTATTTTGAGAATCAAAATTCTTACATTATTGTTTAATTCGAACTATTCGAAGATTGAGTATCAAATTTTGTCGAATACGCAAACGATTCGAAAACGAAAGTTGTTCATGCTAGAGGTACTACAGGCTTCTATGTACAAAATTATAAACGACAGCACATGGAAATATGTATGATGTTGCAAAAAAAAAAAACAGACTGAACTGTACTAGATAGGATGTGCTGAATTGAAATATTGTTCACTCATATATTCGCTTGAGAAAGAGATAAGAAAGAGTCACAGGTGTCTCGCGAGCCCCGTGAAGTGTTTGTTTAGCTTTATTTAAAACTTACGGGCGTTCTGGACTCAATTTGTATTCTGAACAGCTTTATTATACTTAGAATTCTACTAGTTACAATTAAAACGTGTACCTCTTTCAGGTTTCATTATGCCACGGAATGGCCACTACACGTTGCATCTGACACGCAAGCCTTATAAAGGACCAATAACAATCGTTCCAGTGATATTCACCAGTACGAATAAGTAAAAGTGACATTAATTTATATAAATTGCAAATAACCATCGACAAAGTAACCTTGTCGCGTTGTATCAATCGGTGTAAGTGAATTTGGATAAAAACGGTGCTAAATTTCCAACAATTTTCAAGTCAGTGCACGACCAAGTGAAGCCGGTAGCGCGGGGACTGTGTGTATCATTGAATCGTGTTTATAACGAGTAATATGACTAACTAATAAATTCGAGTCTTACTGCCAAAAATCAAATTACGGTTTGTTAGTTGATGTTAAGAACCTCTTAAATATTTATTTTAAAGATATTTAAATTAACCTTTAATTTTGTAGCGATTTTTAAGTCGATGAAATATATTTTTTAAAAGCTTTCTATTTATTGGTTGAATGTGTATTGTACGAAATGAGATTTTTATAAATGGATCAGTGAAAGCAATAGACATTCCAAATATTTAACGGTTTTTGTCGACGTTTGGCAATACACGAATTCATAGCACTTAGAATATTACAATAAAATTAAAAACAGTTTTCTTGATAGGTACGTTTTGATAGATTTTATAATCATACGGTTTTGAGCTGTACTTAGCGCATTTAAATAATAAGTAGCTTATTAGAAAATGACTGAAAACCGACAATATTGATATGGTCTCATTTCTATTTGCTGCAAATATCTTTCTTGTAGTATATTGTTAAGATGTATTACTATAAATAGTATAGACAACTTACGTGTTGTTTTTCTAAGAGTTTTCTTTGTTAGTGTTTTGAAGAGTGTATTTATAAATCAGATTAATTATGTAATAAAAATAACATTGATCGCTCTTAAGCGAATTACAAAATATCTAGTTTTCTCAGTGAATTAAGTCAAAGTAGTCTCAACTGGAGACGAAACAGTATTGGTCATTTAATCTTCAAGTCGTGTTGTTTAGAATGTTTGATTGAAATATAAAAATTTATAATGTACTAGTACAACAAAATCTTAGCGGGAGATAATGTCCTAAGACATAAAACGCACTTGTGTTATATCATCAATTTACATACTTGTTGTTTTGTAAGGTCTAGGTCTACGCTTTACTGAGTTAGTGTCTGAGGTTTAGGCTCTCGTAACAGAGGGGTGACATTGACATAATTATGACGTGATAGAGCATACCAATCTGAAGTCCGAAGACGTTTGACGTCTCAAAAACACCCTCCTGTGCCGCTCCCGTACCTCAGACACTAATACCCGTTTTCACCATCAATCCCTAATTTTTAAGTGACCATTATGACAACAAAATGCCTGTTAAGTGTTACCATAGGGGTCACTTAAAAATTAGGGATTGATGGTGAAAACGGGCATAACTCAATTAAGTGCTAGACCTATTGTAAACTTTGCTCTATTTCTCAGTAACTTTGTGATAAAAACAGTTTCTCCGCCGAGTTGAATTTCTTAAAATCGATTCGCGAGCTTATTAACAATGAGTGAAAATGATATACCTAAAATTCATTATTCGATGAATTTTTGTGGTATACTTAACTGAAATCATGATCGATGCCAGTTTGTGTTACTGTTGACAATAATTTATAGCTATAGTTCCAAAATACTGGACTGTCCTGTCGATGACATTGACAGTGGGGCGCCACCGTCAATACCGGATCGCTGGTTCAGATTTTTGCCATGTTGGAAACCATATAGTTAAACGATGGTAGCGCCCCCCTGTCATTGAGTTTGGTGGGACAGTTCAGCGTGGGTCATCTATACAAGGAACAATTTGTATGTTCATTGATGATATTAGCGTTAACGATAGCACAACATATTTCTAGTTGTAAGAGTAAAAGTTTATCAATGATTTAGATTACCACAATCCTGTTCCTTACACGCTGTGCCAAACGTTTATATGTATACCCTAATGATGGACCCTTGTCTTCCATAACTTTGTAAGTGCCGGCGCGTGACTATTATCACGCCCGTATATCATTATAGAAACAACAAAATCATTTGTACAATAATGTATTAAATAATTTTTACAATAACTTAAAGTCATAAATATAAAATGTAAGAGTTAATAAACACTGAATGGACATAATTCTTGTTTTTTTAATCTTTGCTTTCAAATAACTGCTGGGATTTAGGGTAGTTTGTTTCAATGTTCTTCAGTACTTTCAGACCCTCTAAAAAGAGAAACCAAATATGCAATAACATTCTCTAAAGTATAAAAGAGGTATTTAACCCCGCTTATACAAATAAATATAAATAAAATACGGACCTTTTCCTCGACCTTTGCGTCGCAGTTCCGCTATTCTCTCTACTTCACTTTCTTCATCGACATCTCTCTCTTTCTTTTGCGACTCGTCTTGCGCTTGCTTTAGCAGAGATTCTTCCAAAAACGTCAGTTCTGAAAAGTCGATATACGAAGCACATGTTACAAACAAGAAATTATATTGAAACAGGTATAACAGCAACTTATAATTGTAATGATTGTGTAAAAATAAAGGTATATCCTTTATACCTTAGGAAGGCTATGGACGCGGGTCACTTCCAAACAGCCAATCTAGAATCATTGAAGCAAGCCTATGTTCAGAAGTGCCTGGAATGATGACGATCATGAATGATGTCGATGGCCGAACTCACACCCACTCGTCGCTCACGTTACATATTCATATTGGTTTATCTCACAAGAGATACGCCTATTAGCAACGAACGATATTGTTACAATCGAGTAAAGATAAGAAAGTTCGCTGGATGCGGGCGGGCAGCGCAGAACCGACCGTTATGGAAATCCTTGGGGAGGCCATTGTCCAACTGTGGACGTCATTTGGCTGAAACAAACGGAAGATAAGCAAGCGGCTTACTGGTGAGCCGTGGGTCCATGCTGATCCAAGGCCCGCTGAAGATGCTGCCAGCGGTGGGCCGCGCCTTGGCCTCGGGCTCCATCAGCGCCGTCACCTGCTGCTTGCACTCCGTCGACAGCTGGTTCACCACGCTCGTGCGGAACCGCCACTTGCGCATCACCTGGGTAGAAGCAACTTCATCATCATCATCGAAGATATGAAACGTTGTGTATAGGGCTCAAGGTCGACGCCGTTCTTACTGATAGAGAACTGAATTGCTACTATTTATGGCTACTTATCGAACGTAATCATAGTGTGTTGAAATGTAGTAAACTGGAACTCATCTACTAGAATACTCATATTAAGCCCATGGTCCCAAGCTCGTCCCATCAGTGATCATACCCTTAGGGCGAGATTAATAAGAAGCCCATTCAATAAGAATAATACTAAGCAGTAGAAATATACGACCCTGTTCTACGTCTAAAATCTCACCTGCTTCTCATATAATTTCTTCACTGAAGTCTCGTTGAAGGGCAACGCTTTATTGAGCATCGTGTAAAGAATGATGCCTATGGACCACATGTCAGCCATCTTCGGCAGGTACGGCACGCCTTTCAGCACCTCGGGCGCGGCGTACGACAGCGAGCCACAATACGTCTCGCTCAAAACATCCCGGTCTCTCTGTCGCACGATCCGCGCAAACCCAAAATCCGTTATCTTCACGTTGTAATTTGCCGTAATCAATATGTTCTCGCACTTCAAATCTCTATGCGCTATGTTCAAAGTGTGTATGTAGTAAATCCCCGAGATGATCTGCCTCATCCACAGCCTACTTTGATTCTCCGGAACGGGTCCGTTTTGTGTGAGGAAATCGAGCAAGTCTCCGTTCTCGGCGAACCGTAGGAATATGAAGTATTTGGCGCGCCGCTGGAATATGTTCGACACGTGGACGACATGGGGGTGGTTGATGCGGATGAGTACGTCGAGTTCGCGAGGCAGGAATTTAGTGAGGTAGTCGCGCGGAGCCTGCGCTGTGTCGATGACTTTGCACGCCAGTACTGAATGCCGGGTCTCATCGACCATATGAGTTGCTTTATAAACCTGCAAAGGAAATTATATGAAAACTATAATGAAAACATACGATAAGACCACTACCACTTATATTATCGTCCTGCTTTTTGTATTTGGATATTTCTTAGTAAATAAAGAAATTACCTTAGCATAAGATCCCTCCCCTATTATTTTCTCTAATATAAACCCTTTTTCTTGAAGAACGACTAAATCTGATTGTGTTGTGCTAAGGTCTACTTTTTCGGTCGTTGGACCCATTTATGTCACTTTCCCATTCATTATTATTTCATTTTTGCTCTTATTCGTAACATAATGTTGTTAATCACAGCGAACAAGTCACAACTATTTATTTATCATGTTGATACACTGGATTTCTTGGACAAATTAAAAATTTTAAGCTATTGTCGACTTCATTTTCATTTTTGTATTTACGTCATTGTCATCTTATGCCATACGCCAGTATGAAGTTGGCACTCTTTGGTTTATAGAAAGAGGTACTACATGCTTATGCAATTTACTCTGATGCTGAAGAGCTGTAGAGAACCTAAACATTGTAAGAGGACAGAATATTGTTTCGTACTTACTATAGGCGTTTGTTAATTCAGTTTAGCACAGGAAAACTTACGTGCCATTAATTTAGAATTTACTGAGTTAACCCAGGTTTAGAGTTGCTGTATCTGTAAAGAAAGAAGCGTGAATGACAATGATAGACGCCCTTTATTACCACTGTCGGTATTACATTTAGATCAGCAGATCTATTTCAAAGAAACTTCGGATATGGGGACATGTAATAACAAAAATATATTCGCGTTATTAAAAGGCATGCAGAATTTCATTAATGCACATATTTATTCCACACATGAAAAATAATTACCATGAAGACGAGGAACCATTAACATCAAAAGTATTTTTCATTAGAGATGTGTCTGGAAGACATGGTACCTCTTTATCTGGCTTGTCCTGGGCATTTGATTCAGATTTCCTTTGGAGCTGACTCTTTTCTTCTCGCGCCTTTTTGTATGCCAACGTCTCTTGAGGCGTCCATTCTGAAATATTACAAAAGTAAAGTAAAGATAGTATGTTGTGTGACTATAGAAATACGGAAGGCATACTATTATATTTGTTTTACCTAATAATCTAGAGTCCATGGCGATCCACTCGCTATGAATGATTTGGTCAACTTTGATCCTGCTCTGGTAATTTGGATCCAACATCAAAGTCACTAGACGCTTACAATTATCAGATATAGTGTCCACATAACGCGAACGAAACTTCCAATTTCTGTTGATCTGTGCCTGGTAAAGTTGTTTTATGTGCTTATCCTCGAAAGGCATAGCTCTGTTCAGCATGACGTAGAGCACTATTCCCAAGGACCACACATCCGTCGGTTTCGGATAATATGGAGCACCCTGTAGTATCTCAGGGGCAGTGTAAGATAAAGATCCGCAAAATGTTTCGCTGTGTATATCTTTCATTTTCTTATCCACACAAAGTCTGGCGAAACCGAAATCTGATAGCTTGGCGTTCTGGTTAGCCGTAAGAAGAACGTTCTCACACTTTATGTCCCTGTGAGCTATTTCGAGCTCATGCATGTATTGGATGGCCAGGGCGAGCTGCCTCGTCCATATCCTGGCCTGATCTTCCTGCACTGCCCCCTTTTGAAGTATGTGCTCTAAGAGATCACCGTGCTCCATATACCTCATAAAAATAAAATATTTGTATCTTCTTTGAAAAATACTGTGCGTGTGCACCAAATGTGGATGGTTCAGTTTTATGAGCATTTCTATTTCTCTTGGCAGAAACTTCTTCACGAAATCCTTGGGAGCTGTGTTGGTATCAATCACCTTGCAGGCGAGCACAGAAAGTTTGTCATTTTTATTTGGATTTCTATACTCCGAAAGGTAGACCTGTGGATAATAAAAAACCAATGAAGTTTTATAACTTGGTTTCAACAGAATGCGTCAGGTTTAGCAGAGAGTAATATTATGTTACAATACATAATTTATTTTAGAACGTGTCTAGAATTAGATATCAGTCTCTGCCTCGTATAACTTACCTTAGCATATGAGCCTTCATTGACTTTCTTGATCATCTTATAACCACGAGTAGCGAGCGTTAATTGTTCAGAACCAGTTAATTTTAAATCGTCATCGATATGAAACTGCAAGGAATTGAACTACTATTGTTTAATACAACTCACTTAGGTCTATTCCGTATGTTAATTATTAGACTACTCCTTATTCTGGATTAACATAGTTTTCATAGATTCGAGAGCGAATCCTAAAGTAAAAATAATAATTGCGAAAGTCCGAAGAGTAAAGGCATATTATATTTACTACTAATTTGCATTCGTAAATAATTATGACCTACTAATAATCCCAACTAATATTATAAATGCGAAAGTAACTCTGTCTGTCTGTCTGTCTGTTACGCTTTCCCGCTTAAACCTCGCAACCGATTTTGATGAAATTTGGCATAGAGATAGTTTGAGTCCCGGGAAATAACATAGGATAGTTTTTATCCCGGTTTTTGAAACAGGGACGCGCGTGATAAAGTTTTTCTGTGACAGACAAAATTCCACGCGGGCGAAGCCGCGGGCGGAAAGCTAGNACTAATAATAGTTAATAATTGGCTTAGAAATTCAGGCTAACCTTTCTTACCTTGGATTTACCCTCCATCTATTCAGCTTTTTTTTGTTTAGCTGTCACATTTGCGAGAGACTTTAGCATTTCACTGGCCTATAAAATAATGATTAGTTATTAGATTGAGATGTTTTATTAATTGAATCGCAATTAATAGAAAATATTAAGCTTCACTTACCCTGTACACGGAATCCCTATTTGGCCCTTCATAAATATCTCCTTGCCTTTTCGGAGGGTTCCTGTGTACGTCAGACAATCTACGACGCTCTTCTTTTGCCTTTTTTAGCGCTGCTGCTTCTACTGCGTTCAAAGCTAAAATATAATTAATATTTTTAATGGTTGTCGGTAAAGTACCACTTCTTTGTCATGTTCAAAACTTACACGTGAGTCTGCTGTCCATAGCAATCCACTCAGAACTGAGAACTTGATTGGCGGTATGTCTAAGCCCGGGGTCGGGTTCTAATAAATGTTTCACTACGGTCTTGCACTCTAGAGTGAGAATGCTGGCCACGCGCGATCTGAACCGGTACTTCTTGCCCATCTGCTGCTCGTATAACTTTCGCATGCGAGTGTCATCGAACGGCATCGATTTGTTGAGCATCACAAACAACACCACCCCCAGGGACCATAAGTCTGTCGGCTTCGGTAAATAAGGCTTGCCGCGTAGAATCTCCGGCGCTGCATAGGACATCGAGCCGCAGTAGGTCTCGCTCAGTATCGGTGTTTCATCTTCGTCCACGCAAGACCTCGTGAAACCAAAGTCCGACAGTTTCACATTAAAGTTTGCCGTTAACAAAATATTCTCACACTTGATGTCTCTGTGTGTGATCTCCAACTCGTGGAGATACTGTAGTCCCAAAGCCAACTGCCGGAACCACACCCTGGATTGGTTCTCTGATACGCAACCGTTCTTTAAAATATAACCCAGAAGGTCTCCATTCTCAGTGAATCGCATAAAAATATAGTATTTGGTTTTTCTCTGAAATATGCTGTGAGTATGCACAAGGTGAGGGTGGTTCAACCGAATCAACACGTCAATCTCGCGCGGCAAGAATTTGACGACAAAATCTTTAGGTGCCTTTGATGTCTCGATTATCTTACACGCGAGCATTGACTTATGAGCATCATCTTTCCCTGAATACTCTGCTAAATATACCTGTAGTAGAACACTTCTCGTTAAGCGTATACACTAAACAGAAAACTTATTGATTTATTCGAATTTAAAATTACCTAGGTACCTTAGCGTATGCGCCTTCACCGATGAATTTAGTTAGTTTATATCCTTTTGAAGATAGTGTATTTTCTTCCGATGGGGTAGTTTTCAAATCGGACATGATACGACTATGGGGTTAGGCATAAAGTACTCCGCCCGCCAGACAATACACTCCAACGCTTTCCCAGTATCCGTTGGCCGTACATTTGCATCCAAAAGAAAAGCAGGCAGCATTTTTACGTTGTTATAAACAAACTCTCACAATAATTTTGGCTTTACATTCTGATAGGTATGTTTGGATTGGTGACAAACCTGTCACTTGTCCTGTGACAACCTACTGTCATTTACTTATTCTTCTACATCCTCTAACAAAGAGGAAAAGGTCATTTGTGTTAAGGCGTAGACGTAGGTAGCAGACACAGTAGCAGAGGCAGAGCATCCGTTTACCCTGTTAGCTTCATAGATGGGTGAGAGTTGAAGATTCGACTGAGAATATCCATTGATATTCCTAATAATCACACCACAAGCCGGTGATGATTTTAGTTATGATCAGATGCTTAAAGTCAAGTCAAAAGAGGGATGGTATATTAACTAAAGATTAAACTGAAATAAAACCACCTGATTCAGTCTTCTGCGTTATATTAACAAAACAACAACATTTAAATAACTTAAATTACACAGCTCCTACAAATAAAATTGTATCACCCATAATAAAATCCGTAATTTACGTTTGCATTTGCTTTTTACTCAAAAACTCACCAGCCAAAGATATCCTTTGCAGGAAAGATGGCGCTGGCGTCAGCAGTAATTCATAAGCGTCAACATCCATGTGTTCTGGATACTTGTTTTCTCTTCGGATTCGCTCCAAAATGCGTTGAGGTTCACATTTTGGCCTCGTTTTCCAATCATTGTTCAAAAACTCTTGAATTGCTTTGGGCAATAGCTTGTACGCTTCCTTCGCTCTGCTCGAACTAGGTGGTTGGAGGGTATCAGGATCTTGCGACGCTACAATTATGTCATCAACTTCAACATCTTTATCTACCGGCTTATCAGTATCTGTAGAATTTTCATCAGTTACAGTTTCAGAATCATCCGCTTCAGCAAGCAGAAGAGAACCATTGTAATATTTAGACAATTTCTCTTTTACAATTTCAGTTAAACTCGATTCGTTAATAATATTCTCTCTTTCAGTACCATCAATGTTAACATATCCGGTTCTCGTTTCTGTTTTTATAAGAACTTGATTCTGATCTATTTTGTTTTCAACTAATACTCCTTCAGTTGTCACATTACTAGTTTCTTCGACAACTACTTGCGTATTTTTTACATTTTCGGTTTTGTTATTGTTCTTTTTATTTTCGGACGCTTCAATTAGAGTCATGAATTTTATGTTGTCTTCTTCTTCGAGTAATTGGTAGACTCTGTGTACTTCACTTATGTTTATTCTGAAAAATAAAGACATATTTACACAAAATTATAGGCAGACATAAAATTATGTTATGTTAAATGTAAAAAAAGTACAAGTCTAATTTCGGTGAGTTTTGATTTTGGGTCGATTATGTTTATGGACTGCTGAAGATAAGAGTTTAAACTAAACTGCGCTATAAGGCAATGTTTTTTCTAACTGTTAGCTAAAACATTTTAGCTATAGTTTTTTATATTACTTTTTTTGAATAGCCCTTGTGTCTACGTCTATGAATAAATACATGTTCTATAATATCAACTCACCCTTGCTTCGCTTCGTGGCAGCAATGCAGCATTGTAGGATCAATAGGATGGGCTTCTGTGTTGAATATGTACCCACCGACATCCACCACACATTCCCCATTAGGCGTGTTGATGACTGTTCCGTGCACGCCCGGGTTGTGAATGAAATTGTCAGGGTCGAACAATAAGTATAGGTATTTGGTGGTCTCGGCTAGGAAGAAGGATTCCATGCGGTCCTCTTTGCGGTGGTCGCGGACGTCTTTTATCTGGAAAAGGTTTTTTAATGGAATTAGTATGAAATGTTTTATTGGAGAAGTGTTGTTTTTAATTTGCGAGGTAATGCAAAAAAATGTTTCAGTGTCATCATGGAAAGTCGATAAAGTTTCCATTATAAATCCAATATATTTTGAAATTGATACATATTAAATGTAGTAGTGCGAAAAAGGATCAAAGGTGCTATAACTAAGCTTGTTATAACTGAAGCCGGGATTTATTAAACAGTTAATACAGAATCAAAATTACTAAGAACAAGAATAAAACCGCCAAATCTTTCACAAAGAAGTAGAAGTTTCAACAAAAAATGCTATCTCACTTACCGTAGCGTAACCGCAGTTAGTCTTAGCGCTATGCTGTATACTCCTAAGTATATCCTCTCCCATCTGCAGCAGGATAGGGTCTCTTGTGTCCCTATACAGGTACATAATAGACTCAATCAGCTCAGGCCGTAGCGGGTAGCTCTCACGAGCAGTCGACGCCTCGCCCGTGCCCAAGTTGTAGACTTCAGGAGTGAAGCCGTACTGCTTCCACACGCTGTGGTAGTTGTGGATTATACGCATGGCTGTGTCGCTTTCACCTGATGACAAAAGGTGGAGTTGAACTTGGGGCATAGGTGTAAAGACACGAAAAGAAGTCTCTAATAAATTGAAGTAACGAAATTGAGGTTCTTGCGAAATTATTAAAATACTTATAGTGCAGCGATCGAACAAGATTGAAATAGTGCACTCTCCACGGAAGACCAGTGTCGTGGCATTATCTACTGAAATGCTACGACACCATGCTGAGCGGACATCTTTTCAGTATCATTGTAATTACCTATTCATTAAATAATTTTAAGTATTGTTGTAAGTGTATTGTCGATGATACTGAATGAACATTTTTTCTTTCTTTCTATTCTCCGAACCTTGACACTAGCTTTATTTAAATTAGCTGGATTAGGACTAGCTAGAGTTGAGACCAGCTGGAGTATGCCTCTAGCTTGGATTTAAGGCATCAGCTAAAAATGACACCAACTGGAGTATGACATCAGCTTATGCTTCACATAACTCAAGCTGGAGTTTCAGCTAGAGTTGGCACTCTACTCTGGTTGGTCACCAGCTGTGTATTATGATATCAGCAGAACACCGTATTGACACCGTAGTGTGACGTCACCTATCAGACTCAGCAGCCCTGGTTAGCAGGACTGGTGGCCAGTGTTGCCAGAAGGTTACTTTTGAACTGCTGGATCAAGAGGGCCCCCGTCTGGTCTCAAAGAAAACCTTTTTCAAGATGAAAAGGGCCCCGTTGATCCTGAAGTTCCCAGGGCCCCTAGTAGGTTAAAGACGGCCCTGGACGTCACCTATCAGACTCAGCAGCCCCGGGTAGTAGGACTCCAGCGACTGGAACACGGGCNTCGACAACTTCTTCCGTATTTTTTACATTTTCGGTTTTGTTATTGTTCTTTTTATTTTCGGACGCTTCAATTAGAGTCATGAATTTTATGTTGTCTTCTTCTTCAAGTAATTGGTAGACTCTGTGTACTTCACTTATATTTATACTGAAAAATAAAGACATACATAAAATTATAGGCAGTAAGTAGACTTGATACATAGTCTTACATTATTTTAAATCAAAAAAGTACAAGTTTTGATTTTGGCTCGATTGCGTTTATGGACTGCTGAGGATAAGAGTTTAAACGGCGCTATAAGGCAATGGTTTTTTTTTCTAACTGTTAGCTAAAACATTTTAGCTATAGTTTTGTACATTAGTTTTTTTTTAATAGCCTTTGTGTCTAGATGTCTATAAATAAATACATGTTCTATAATATCAACTCACCCTTGCTTCGCTTCGTGGCAGCAATACAGCATTGTCGGATCTATAGGATGGGCTTCTGTGTTGAATATGTACCCGCCGACATCCACCACACATTCCCCGTTGGGTGTATTTATGACTGTTCCGTGCACGCCTGGGTTGTGGATAAAGTTATCCGGGTCGAACAGAAGGTATAGGTATTTGGTGGTCTCGGCTAGGAAGAAGGATTCCATGCGATCCTCTTTGCGGTGGTCGCGGACGTCTTTTATCTGAAAAAGGCATTTTCAATGGTATTAACTAGTGTGAAATGTTTTATTGGCGAAGTAACACCAAAAACTATTTTTCAGTCGATATAATACGATGTTTCAGAAGCAAGGAGTAGTCGGTATAGCTCTTATCAAAAAATTTATGCAATTAGCTATACGTGGTAACGTGGTAATACCTAAAAGGATCAAAGAAGCTATAACTAAGCTTTTATAGCTGAAACAATGTATCGTTGTAGAACAGTTGGTCAGAATTTTGTGAACAAAGTTGTGAAGTAGAAGAGGCTTTTCTACATTTCAACTTTGTATGCTAATTATCAACTTTGATGCTAATTAATTATTAATCTAACTTACCGTAGCGTAACCGCAGTTAGTCTTAGCACTGTGCTGTATACTCCTTAGTATATCCTCTCCCATCTGCAGCAGTATAGGGTCTCTAGTGTCCCTATACAGGTACATAATAGACTCAATCAGCTCAGGCCGTAACGGGTAGCTCTCACGAGCGGTCGACGCCTCGCCTGTGCCCAAGTTGTAGACTTCAGGAGTGAAGCCGTACTGCTTCCACACGCTGTGGTAGTTGTGTATTATACGCATGGCAGTGTCGCTTTCACCTGGTAACAAAAGGTGGGGTTGAATTTGGGAGATAAGTAATGACACTAAAATAATTCTCTTCTCTGACAAATGAAATCACGAAATTGAGGTAAAGTTTGCGAAATTATTGCAAAAAATACTACTTATAGTTCAACGGTCGAACAATATTGAAATAGTGCACTCTCCTATTCTCCGAACCTTGAGGCTAGCTTTGATGCCTCTAGCTTGGATTTAAGGCATCAGCTAGAAAATTACACCAGCTGAAGTTTAGGACACCAACTGGAGTATGACATCAGCTGGAGCATGACTCAAGTGGGAGTTCACACAGCTGGATTATTACACCAGCAAGAGTTGGTACTTTACTCTGGTTAGTGTGGTCACCAGCTGTGTATTAAGATATCAGCATGACACCGTATTGACACCAGTGTGACGTCACCTATCAGGCTCAGCAGCCCTGGTAGTAGGACTCCAGCGACTGGGACACGGGTAGCGTGACGTGGCCGCGCAGCATGGTGGCCCACACGAACCAGTCGTCCTTGCGCAGTACCGGTCGATGGACTGCCGCGCTTCCAGAACCATCGACACCGGCTAGAGTGTGACGTCACCAGGCCCCTCTTTACCACTGGGAACTCTGGACACGTGCCCAGGGCCCCGCGATCAAGAGGGCCCCCGTCTGGTCTCAAAGAAAACCTTTTTCAAGATGAAAAGGGCCCCGTTGATCCTGAAGTTCCCAGGGCCCCTAGTAGGTTAAAGACGGCCCTGGACGTCACCTATCAGACTCAGCAGCCCCGGGTAGTAGGACTCCAGCGACTGGAACACGGGCAGCGTGACGTGGCCGCGCAGCATGGTGGCCCACACGAACCAGTCGTCCTTGCGCAGGTACCGGTCGATGGACTGCCGCGCTTCCAGAAACATCGACATCAGCTCCGGCTTCTCTAGTAGAATTGCACCTGGAATATACAAGAGTTTGTTGACTGACAAAATAACAGTGACAAAAATGGGGAAGGATCTTCTGTGAACCTCGTAGTAATCGAAAGCCACAATTTTATTGCAACCTTGTTGCGACGTGCGTGTGTTGACGAGGATGGAGCAACTACGCAAAGAGATTGAACCATAGCATCTTAAGGTTTAAGATATCCGGACATCATGAGCGTAATATCGCTGTCCTTCGTACGCAAGCGCCACATTGCTCAAAAAAAAATTACCAAAATTGGGGACAAAGAGATTTCTAAGTTATTAAAGAACCTTACCTTTTACTAAATACTCATAATATGAATCAACTCCACCCCCAATCCCAGCATCCTGTGCGGTCCATCGACCAGTCATGACATCAATGTGGTTTCCAACTAGGCCTATTGGAGACCTGTGGTGGTACAGTGCTTTTAATGCATTGAGTGCAACCTAAAACAGCAAAGATAGATTTAATTATGCCAATAGCAGAGAAAAACTACTCATTAAAGAAAGTATACAAAGTGCCATACAGGGCCCTATAATGTTCTAAATATTGTATTGAGTATATGGAATCAGATGTTAGTATCTTAGTTTCTGTTGTATGACAGGTACACATAGCTTTGCTTGGTTTAGGATTAGATGGCTTGTAAAATGTCCAAGGATAATAATTAATTATTTATGTTAATAGATCTTCAACCACTTTAAATCAATTAACGAAGAAAAATATTCCAGTACCTCTTCATATAAAGGATCTCCAGTGAGCCTGCTCAGAGTGCCAAACTCAATAATAAAGGTCCCAACACCAGCTGTGCAAGTCACACTGGTCTCCCCAGGGGGCACTCCAGACCTTAGGTTGATGGTGCCGTAAGGCATGCCCGTGGTGGTGTCAAATGCTGCAATCAGCCTTTGGGCTACATCTTCTGCTAATCGCAAGAGTGGGCCATTACAGGGCCAGCCGGGTTCCAATTTTGCACCAGTTCTGCAAATATTTTACCAGTCATAAGTTGTTTATTAATAGAAAAAAAAGTTTTATTATGTGACGAAAATAATTAGTATTTTACAGTCACAGACACATTTCAACCACCAGTTTTTAGAATGAAACTAGTTCGAAGTAATACAATTTTAAGATACAGAAACTGTTTTACAAGTCTGTAGGCACTAGCCCTACATGAAATGGGTTTCTATTTGTCTCAGATATACGATTATTAGAAGCCAGATTCAAAGTGATAAGTGACAAACCATTATAATATGGCTAATGTTAATAGCTTCTATTTACAATGGACTTACTTGTAAGAAAGTAGATGAGCACTGAGAAGTCCTCCTGTAATCCTGATATTGGTTTCAAAGACAGACACATTAATATCTGAGTCAAAGTTCTTCTTCTGAAGTAGAATATCTACGACTCTGTTGAATTCTGTGTAGTTGCCCATTATGGCGAGTGTGTCCAGAGCATCGATGAGCGTTAGAGAGTAGCTCCCCCACGTGTCGACACCGTCGCAACTGAGAGGACGGAGCTCGTCGTAAGGGTATGCGTACCGTAAGTAACTGTCGTAGGCATGTTGAAACATTTCACGAACCTCCTCCCTAAAATAAATTGAAACTTGATTAATATGGTTTAAGCGGTTAATTCTTACAGCTGTAAGTACTGTATTTTGTATTTGTTTAATAATATTCAGTGAGGTTATGGAGTAGCAATAATTTGCATATTTCCAAAGCACATAATTAATATATGGATTTTAACACGTACCTTAGTCGTAAAATATCTTCTTTACTATATTCTCTTAGGCTTGAACATTTATTACAGAAAAATAAGAGAAATAAACAAATTGATGCTTTCAAAATCATTTTTTACACCACACTGGATTAAAGACCTTTGTTTCAACAAAGATGCCAGACGACTATACCTACACAGTGAATTAGAGATATTTTATTTCTATTTTCTTATATTATCTTTAATATTTAATTTTAATTTAATTTTTCAGTTCATTAGCATTTTTACGTGTATTTTGTAACTGTCAAAAACAGCTGATGCTGATAACATAAACGTCAACTTGACGTTTTCTAAAGCTAGGTCTACACGATATTACACGGTATTTGTGGAATTGGTAACATACAACGTTACTACGATATTGCGGACAACTGTAGGAATATTCTCGGCTATGCGATCAACAACAGCATAATATTTCAAAGAGCTGCTTGAGTTTCAGATTTAGAAGAAAAAAATAGTTTGATAATTATTTCAAGTGGCGATAAAGTTCACATTTTTGGGACTGATAAAAACTTTTTTCAGTTATCTAGGCTTTATTTTAAGTTTAAAAATGTAGTTAAATGTTTTTTTATAGCTTTTAAGTTAATTAAAGTAATGTTCCAAAATACTGAACTGTGCTGTGCATGACATTGACAGCGGGGCGCCACCGTCTATACCGAATCGCTGGTTCCGATTTTTGCCATGTTGGAAACAATACAGTTGAACGATGGTAGCGCCCCCCTGTCATTGAGTTTGGTGGGACAGTTCAGCGTGGGTCATCTATATTTTAATATAGCCTGACCAGGAACATAAAAACCCTGGCATAGACGCGCGTTAATTGCATTTGATAGTGCAACACTGAGTACAGTCGTACCTGTGTTAAATTAATAGGCTAACTTTATGTGTCAGGATTCAGGATTATGGGCTAATTTGATATTTTCATAAATTAACGAAAAAATATTATTATAGGTAACCTGGTTTAAATAAATTAAATGAAACCATCAATCGACCTAGTAGGATTTATTTTATTATTCACCAAATCAAATTCAGAACTTGAATATTCAGCTGCAATGTCTGCACATGAACGCTTCAAACTCGGTAGGTACTTCTTTCCCAATTCCATAAAATTCAACACTTAGAAAGTGACAAAAAAAATTAAAATAGGTAGTTGAAACAATTATTATAATAATTAATAATTTTCATAGTGGACTGTACTATATGATAAACATGTCAGTCAATTTGACAACCTTTGTCGGAGGTTTTTATGTTCCTGGTCGGGCTTTATAGCCTGACCAGGAACATAAAAACCCTCGCCATGTTGCGGAAAACTAATGGTACTAATTTCTTTTAATGGCAACAGTAACTGGAAACTTCATTGACATGTCACCTTGCATGTCAGTCTATTGCTGTCAAAGTGTAAACAAACTTTATTTTAAATGTGCGCAATTGATTTTGTGAATTAAATTGCTAAAATATTTTTATAGTCGTGAAAGAAAAGTGGTTCACAATGTGTTAAAGTATTTGTCGAAGAGAAATACTAAGGGTTCGGACAATATTTTCATTGAATAATGTTTCCGACAAAGGTTGTCAAATTGACTGACATGTCAAAATCAAAATCAAAATCAAAAATATTTATTCAGTTTAGACCACAAGTGGCACTTATGAACGTCAATAGAAAATAATAAAAAAAGAAAAAGGTAGCCCTTATGGGGCACTTTACATGTCTCCTTATCTTTTGGGCCCTACCAGCGCTTCGAGACAAACATATGGCAAGTGCTGAGAAGAAACGCCGGAACAAACTCAGTCACCACTTATTGCCATGTTTATCGTATAGTACAGTCCACTATGAAAATTAGCTGTGGTTTGTTTCAACTACCTATTTTAAAGTTTTTTGTCACTTTCTAAGTGTTGAATTTTATGGAATTTGGAAAGAAGTACCGAGTTTGAAGCGTTCATGAGCAGACATTGCAGTTGAATATTCAAGTTCTGAATTTGATTATTGACGAATAATAAAATAAATCCTACTAACTCGATTGATGGTTTCATTTAATTTATTTAAACCAGGTTAATATATAATAATATTTTTTCGTAAATTTATGAAAATATCAAATTAGCCCGTAATCCAGAATCCTGATACATAAAGTTAGCCTATTAATTTACGGTACACAGGTACGACTGTACTCAGTGTTGCACTATCAAATGCAATTGACGCGCCTCTATGCCAGGGTTTTTATGTTCCTGGTCAGGCTATACTTTATATATAACGTAAACGTTACTAGTTATTAGATCTGCATACATATAGCCTAAGCCTTATTTTATGAGCCGCCAATTGTCAATAGACAAAAGATTTACTGATGTCCTATTGGTTCATTTTTGAAATATCATAGACAAAAGAGCAACGTAAACTGCAACAGCTGAAAATGCCAAAATGTCTGTTGTCCGTTGACGCTATCGTAGCGTTTTTGAGGGTGATTTTGGAATAATCATCTCATTTTTGTATTGTACACGCTTTATTTCAAGAAGAATGTGTTCCTGGATTTGCTAGTTATCCGTATATCTGCTTTGGTCGCCATCTTCTGCCATTCTCGCGGCCTGCGTTATTAGCTGATCTGGTATTTTGGTAGTGTAAAGTGTAAACGAAAAAGCAGGAGCAATGGCATTCAGAATTCACGAAGATCAAGAAAATTCAGCTCTCGGGCTTCGAAAAGATAATGCTGACGTATTTTCGGCTGCAAACCAGCGGCGTGCACTCGTCGACCTTAGCCACTTCGCGTGTAACCAGAACCGGAATATAAAACTTGTGAGTAAACTTTCAATTATGCTTTTTGTATTTCCGCGTTCATTTGATGTATTCCGTTAATGATCCACATAGACCACGTAGATTTTCTCTTTAACTTATCATACCGTCTTGACCGTTTCTTTTGCGATTAGGTTATTTTAACGGTTTGTTTGTTTCAGCCTGGATTGACGAATGGACCTACTAAAGTTCAAGATGAGAACAGGACGGTACGTCTTATTAAGAATGAGAAGAACATTGTCCCCCCTGTTGCACAATTTCGCGCGTTCAGCGTGTATGAAGACAAACCGTCTGAGGCGGAGGTGAAGAAACGCGAGCCGTTCAAGTTTGGGACCAAAGAGATCAAGAAGGATAACTTCTTCAAGAATGCAGCCGAAAACGTGAAAGCTATCTGTGCACAGGTTGAGAATCAATCAGATTGGCAGAAAGATGCACCTCCAAAAAGGTTAGTTTGTCAAAAATACCTCCAACTTAATTTTAAAAAATGGTATATTTTCACAAGAGGTTTCCATTATAACCCTACTTTCATGGTATTTTATTTTATGGTATTTTCTGATTACTATGACAAATTGGAATGTGATAGTTTAACTTCATATTGATTTATGTCCTGTACAAATGTGCCATTGCCCAAGATTTAGCATTAGCCATCTAGATTACCAACCTACCTACTTAAACTTCTTATAGGCCATCTGGATTCATGTCATGCTTAGACATTTGAGTCTTTAGGTTATTTGAGGTACATTGGTAATTTTCAGACCCTTACAAGAAAAGAAAGATGTGGAGTCTCCCATGTCCGTGGTGGATTCTAGCATCCTATCGATGTCCATCTCCAAAAATGAGAGTCAAATACTTGACAGTCTCTATGAAGATGAAGATGCTACCACCGCACAGACTGACCGTGAAATGTTCTTCCATGTTGTGGAGTATCGGCAGGATATATACGAGTACATGAGGGAAATTGAAGTGAGTACTCTAGGAGTCATTTTTTTCAAAATTTAATTATAATAGTTTTGGTACATCATAAGTCTTGAGGCTTGACTACGTCCTTGTGTCATATTTATAAACAGTATACAAACTATAATTATGCCTAGTTTATGAAGAAAATAATAATTGTGTAAAATTATTAAGATTATAGTAGTAGTATAAACATTTATATTCATACTTTTTTCAATTTATTTTAGGTAAAAAACAGAGCAAATCCTCGCTATATGCGTAAGCAACCTGACATCACTCACATGATGCGCTCAATCCTAATTGATTGGTTGGTCGAGGTCTGCGACGAGTATGGACAGCAGAGTGAAACCTTGCACTTGGCTGTCTCATATGTCGATCGGTTCTTGTCCTACATGAGTGTGGTCCGCACCAAGCTTCAACTTGTTGGTACAGCTGCTACATACATTGCTGCGTAAGTATCATTATTGGATAAAATTCTTTAATGCTTTACATACTTGCAGTTGCCATTTTTAATGTCTTTTTTATCATTTGTTTTGAAATACTGGCAAATATGTAACGAAATATATTTGTGCAACAGGAAATATGAAGAGGTGTACCCTCCAGAGGTGTCAGAGTTTGTGTACATCACCGATGATACTTACACGAAGCGTGAAGTGCTCCGCATGGAGCATCTTATCCTGAAGGTGCTGTCGTTCGACCTCTCCACGCCCACATCGCTGGCTTTCCTTTCTCACTACTGCATCTCTAATGGACTCTCCAAGAAGACCTTCCATTTGGCAGCTGTAAGTATTCTATCTAAAAGCTAATAGAATATTGTAGAATGTATTGTATTATCTTTTTAGAACCTTTTTATTAGTAATGGTGCTAATGTAAAAGGTTTGCAATTTTTTTTTATGTATGACAAGGCAGATATTTCACTGCAATCGCAATTTAAATTCAGTTTAAAATCAGCTATCTTGTATGTAACAACCTCTCTAAACTAGGTAATGACCTACCTACCTACATAAAGCCTTTGGAACTAATCTCAAAGTTGCAGTTTATTCTGCTGAAACACTTGTTCATATTCGTAAAACAAAATCTAAGTTGAGTCTGCTGATNTCTAAGTTGAGAATATAGACTGCTTATTGAGCATTTCACTAAATGTGCACTTTTCTATACAAATGTAAGGGCTGAAGAGTTTGTTCTGCATCAGACCCTTTGAGTAGACTTATTTTTTACATCTTAAAATGTACAAATAGATGAGCATTTCACCAAATGCGCACTTTTCTATACAAATGTAAGTTCTGAAGAGTTTGTTCTGCATCAGACCCTTTGAGTAGTTCTTTGTACAACTTTTAAAATAAACATAATATCCAACAGTACATCGCAGAGCTGAGTCTTCTGGAAGCGGACCCGTTCCTGCAGTTCAAGCCGTCGGTTATCGCGGCGAGCGCGTTGGCCACCGCCCGCCATTGTCTTCTGTGCGAGCGCTGCGCTGCGGACGAAACTGATTCAACCGTGGAGGACCGCCCGGTCAATGGTAAGTTTTTATGTCTATGGATGTAACTGACTAATGTTGGCTGAAGTGGTTTTTTTGTCTTTTTGGAAATTGAAAAATGAAGTCTAGTGCCCGCGTTCACCATCAATCCTTAATTTTTTAAGTAACCCTTATGAAAACAAAATTCTCGTTATGTGTTACCATAGGGGTCACATAAAAATTAGGGACTCATGGTGAAAACGGGCAAAGGTGTAGTATTTGGTTTTATGGATGTAATCCATTCAACAGCACATTCACTAATGGCGTCATGTATAGTTGGCATAGCTCTAGGTTAGGTTTTTTCATTACTTCATGAGCTAGCAACTGTATAATGCTTGCTGTGCTTACACACCTGTGCGTGTTAAAAGCATGTTGTTCAATGTCTTTTGTCACTAGTGCCCCTCTGTCCAACCTTCAAAACTTACCAAATGTTCGCCTCATAGCAAACTGGTACGGATAATTAATGCCATGAAGTGGCATTTAAGGAGCAACACATTATTGTTTTCAATATAGATGTTTTTAATTTCCCCACAGACGACGCGGTGGGCTCAGGGGCGCGCGCGCACGCGTCGTGCCTTGCAGCGGCGTGGCCGAGCGCGCTAGCCTCGTGCGCGGGCTACAGCGCGTCTGAGCTCGAGCCGTGTCTCAGGGAGTTAGCACGAGCGCACTCGCACGCGGCGCAGCAGCCCTACCAGGCCATACCCGACAAGTACAAGAGCAACAAGTGAGTACATTGGTTACTAGCCAATTGTCTAGCAGCGGCGTGGCCGAGCGCGCTAGCCTCGTGCAGAGTAAATACAAATGAGTGCGTTTCTATGAAGATGACCTATCTTCATAGAAACGCACCGAGCGCGGTTTGTATGTGAGCGTGCGCCAATACGTATGCGGCGCGCACGCACACACTGACAAAATTTAGCGTTGATTAGCGGTGAGTTGCCCCGAATCTTGTCAGTGTGTGCGTGCGCGCTGCATACGTATTGGCGCACGCTCACATACAAACCGCGCTCGGGCGTTTCTATGAAGATGACCTACTCATTTGTATTTACTCTGCCTCGTGCGCGGGCTACAGCGCGGCTGAGCTCGAGCCGTGTCTCAGGGAGTTAGCACGAGCGCACTCGCACGCGGCGCAGCAGCCCTACCAGGCCATACCCGACAAGTACAAGAGCAACAAGTGAGTACATTGGTAGTCTAGCGGGGTTTACTGCCTGTCGTTTTTGGCAATTGGATACTAGCTAATTGTCTAGCAGTGGCGTGGCCAAACGCGCTAGCCTCGTGCGCGGGCTACAGCGCGGCTGAACTGGAGCCGTGTCTCAGGGAGTTGGCACGAGCGCACTCGCACGCGGCGCAGCAGCCCTACCAGGCCATCCCCGACAAGTACAAGAGCAACAAGTGAGTACATTGGTAGTCTAGCGGGGTTTACTGCCTGTCGTTTTTGGCGGCGTGCGGGAATCAGCGCGGCCTAACTGGAGCCGTGTCGGCGCGAGTTGGCGAGTGCGCACTCGCACGCGGCGCAGCAGCCCTACCAGGCCATCCCCGACAAGTACAAGAGCAACAAGTGAGTACATTGGTAGTCTAGCGGGGTTTACTGCCTGTCGTTTTTGGCGGCGTGCGGGAATCAGCGCGGCCTAACTGGAGCCGTGTCGGCGCGAGTTGGCGAGTGCGCACTCGCACGCGGCGCAGCAGCCCTACCAGGCCATACCCGACAAGTACAAGAGCAACAAGTGAGCACATTGGTTACTAGCTAATTGTCTAGCGGGGTTTACTGCCGGCCGTTTTTGCGCGGCCGAGCTTTAGCCGTGTCTCAGGGAGTTAGCACGCGAGCAACAAGAATGTGAGCTACCGATTCGAAGATGGTAGTTGATAGTACTAAACTAGTGAGCTGTGATACTAATGTCCATGACAGGGGCCAGAAAAAGCCCCCCTGAATAAGAACCCTAGATACGCCAAAGCAAAGGTCATTCACTGCTGAACATAGGCTTCCCCCAAAGATTTTTATATGAGTGGCCTGAATCCAGCGCCATCCTGTTATCTTTATGAAGTTCGTACGCGTGGATCCCGTTTTACCCCCTTTTCCCGAATTTTCTTTGCTATAAACCTCACGGAGCCCGAGACCTTTCCAACGAATGCAAAACCGTGGAAATCGATTCGTGCGTTCTGGAGTTATAGCGTCAGGGAGGAAAACCCGACTTATTATTTTTATATAGTAGATAATGTCATTAAGAAGACCTTTGAATTTCAATGATGATTTTTGAATCTTGCTTACATTAATGTCGATTTGGGGACAGTTGTAAATATGTCTGTGTCTTGTATGATAAATAATAATGCTGGCTATATCGATAAATAATAATAAGTTCATCGATCAGACAACTGTTACTTGGTTTTGTAGGTCGTGCTGAATGTAGGTCTTCGCACTTTCGCTGACTGTACAGCAGTCAATCTTGCAATACTCATAATTTACGTAACCACTTTCTTAGCCTAGGCGCAGACCACCGTTTTTAGTTGGCCGATAGTTTGATCATATTTTACCCCAAATCATAATGCAAATTACTAAACCCATCCTATATTTCTTCCAGATTCGAAGCGGTATCAACAATCGAGCCTCGCCCCATGTATCCCGTAGGCAAGTACCAGGCGCCGCCGCCCGCGCGGCCCGCGCCCGAACCCGCGCGCGCCAGCTAGTCTCACTACACACACACACACACACACACACACAATCTCGCTCTAGGCACATCTATATCCCCGTAAACGCAAACACTACCCGCATTTGTTAACACGGCTTTTACTGAACATTTTACTCGCCTTTTTCTTTATTCGTTCGTTTGATATTTAAAATAGCTAATAATAGCACAAACGACTGTTGGGAACACCTGCCTCGTAGATAAAAAGGTATGGTAAATGATGCATAGCTACATTTTTGTTTCACATAATGATTAATGATGGTTATTATTGGCCTTTCCGCGGGATCATGAATATGCAAGATAATCGTGAAGAAATATAGATATTTCTTGGAGACTACAGTCTCCAAGTCGTAAAACTAATATTACGAACTTGAACAATTTTAATAAAAAGACTTGAGTTTTGCCAAGTAATTATGTTCTTTGCGTGTATTACGAATGTGGTATGTTTGTGAATACGGGCTTAGTCCACTCGTGGTAATACACCTATGCTATGATTAGTTGCCTTTTCTCATTAGAAAAATAGATCTACTTATCCAAACATGAGTAAGATTGTTTCTTGGGAGAAAATGACAGCTTTCTCATCATAGTTTTACCACGAAAGGGCTGTGTACACCAGATTCAATATGACAGGGTGTAACAGATCAATATTTTTTGATACTTTTAACAATTACATGAATGGTGTCATAATGAAAAAGGTGTATTTACAAGCGAATCTCGATTCTATTTCGTCTAATGCGTTCTTGAATACACAAATATTGTTGCGTATTGGTTCTATGGCACTTTACATCAGCCAACATAACATCTAACAAGAATTGAAAATTTTTTAGGGCCAGTCCGCATTTACAAAAAGGTGAGTACACGGTAATTAATTATGATTGTTTACTGTTATAAATATTGTTTCATTTGTTTTGTCTAAGCCTAAATAATCGAATATTCCAAATGTTTACAACATATTGTAGAGTAAGTTTGTGTGAGTTGTTACGCTAGTTTAATAAATAACTGTTTCCAACGGAAATAAAAACAGACTTTTCTCTGTCTATAAAATAGCTTTATGTTTGGACATTGTTGTCATAAAAAACATGGCAAGTTTTTACACATGTATCTAACCAAAGAGATTTGGAATACGGCCGGTATGTAATGTAACCTCTGATTTACAAGATATCCATTAAACTACAGGTAAAGAAAAGTTAATAGGATTTTAAAAAATACGCTTAGGGTTTGTAGAAGTTATTAGTTAAGGCCCCTGTACAGACTTAAGTATTAGAATATTGCTTTATAATGCAACTTGCCCAATCGTCGCTGTGTTCATATCCTGTGGAGTCGTCTTCCGCCTTCGAAAAACTCTTTGGTTTGACTAAAAAACTATTTTTTTCTTTTTCATAGTGTGATAAGTAGTCTAATATTGTGATTTTATACATTGTGGACCAAGTTTCTAGGGAAATTCCTTGTGATTCGTGTAAGTGAATGTTTTACAACGGTTAGTAGTAATTAATTGCTAGCAGTTTCGGCTTAGCAATTATTTGAACGAACAATACTACCTCCACTATGAATTGAAATGTTTTCGTACGGCTACAAAATGATAGCGGATAATTTTACAGAAATTACATAATATCAGTCTAGTTGTATTTGCAGGAATGTTTGTTAGTAAATTATTATTTTTGAGATAACTATAAGGTATGTTTTTAATGTTCGTAAGTAGTTTTTAATGTAATTTAATATAATTTAATCGATATTTTGCTCCTTTTTATGAATGGAGGTAAGTACGAGTACCTATTTTGGTAATATATTATAATACAATAACAATTTTGTTTTATTTAATTTACCTTTACTTTTTTAAGATCACAAAAAAGCGTTGATTAGGAATTTTATTGATGAACGTCGACAGAACGACTGGCGTGTCCAGGTGTAATAGTGAGACGTTGAGAAATGGCTTCCTTCCGTTAGTATTAATGTTATGTCAATTAAATATAAACTTTAATACAGTGCAATATGGTTGTCAATGTGATTCGGATGTCGCAGATGTTTGCTAGACGAGCTAGGTACGGCTACGGCGATCTATTTGGAGAACGCGCGCGTCACTGGACGCGACGTCGTTCCGCGGTTGTGACAGATTCTTCGATCTCGCACTGATATCTTGGTCTTCAAATTATAAAGCTTATTAACTCGAACATGAACAGAATAATTCGGCAATAACAACGATTAGCATTTAAAATCGTTTATTATAAGAAAATATTTCCTTATCGATAATCTCTTGAAGCGCGAGGTTCTTTATAATTTAAGAATTCACTTTGTACTGTAGCCATAGGAGCGTATTTTCGGTGGTGATCAAGAAGGATGCTTCTCTTGCGTGTACACGTTGCCAAATCCTTTTTTGGAGGCAGCTGGACCTGTAACAAAAAAGGCCGTTGTAAGAAAAAGATGATACGGAAGTTGAATTGCAATTACGCTGCGCAACTGGTCATTTGCAATATAAAAAGTTTACTATGTATAGTGGCCAATGCTAATTGCGGTTTGTACCGACCATATTTGAATTTACGGGTTGTGCGCGTGCGCTTGGAATCGTAAACGCCCTCCAGCTGCCGATACTATTCGCGTCTACATGTCGTTAAACCGCGCGGAAATTAAAACGGCTTTGCGGAATTCCAAATCTACATTAAACCATGTAAGTAACTAAATAAAAAAAAACTTGTGAAATGTTTATGTGAAATAACCCGCAGGATTGCCACGCGCGAGATCAGTTTAGCCGTTTATTTCCAGGAAGCGTCCCGTAATAGAGCTACTAGACATATCAATTCAGCTAGATGTAACCTTCAAACGTTCGCCAATTCTTCGTGACGTACGTACTGAGACGAACAATTTAAATATTAGTAGGGAGCGTTTTGAAGCGAGACGCGGGTGCATAAACATAATAAATCACCCGTCGTACTGACTGTCTGTCGCGCCGCTATGTTTGAGGCTGATAAGGACACTTGTATGTATGTAGAAGTTATTTTGCTAAAACGAGCGCGAAAGATGTCTCGCTCGCTTGTTTTGTTTTTAATCGTGTAGTTAGCCAAGTCGGTCAGTTTAATTGATCTTCCTGTTTCAGTTTTCTCTTTAGGATCTCAAATAGAACGCATCTCGTGCTCTACCTACAGCTCTACGTTCATTCAAGTTCTGTTAAATTTTAGGTACTGGATGCTACTTTACTAATAAAAGCACCGAAGTTTTAAATTGAAAAATAATAGTATTCTGAAAGAAAATATGTACAATCAATTAGGAAAAAGATCGTTTAAAAATGTATCGGCTTGCGACTATGCCCTCGAAAATTCAGACTGTGACAGGCTTCCAGAATGAGTCGTCCTCCTAGATCCCATCTGTATCTGTGCCAAAATTCATGCAAATAACGTCAAGTGAGAGCTACTAATATTTTAACACAACATAACTCTTCCATTATCATCACGTCATCATGACTGCACAACTTTTTTACACGCGAACACTCGTACATCAAGCGCCGGCATTGGATAATGTTCGCTCAATCATTTAATAACACAAAAACCACTTAGATCGATCTTAACATTGAACAATACCGCATGCACCATAATTTGGAGTCGTGTGAAACTGTCAAACTCGAAGCATTTGTTATTTCTGTCTAGTATCACCACATAACACTTCTTGTGTTTTTGCCTCAAGCTATCTCCTTGGAAAGGTAAGTTTTTCCTTAACTATTTAAATTGGCTTATTTTGTCATGAAGCTTCATGAATATCTTTGCTTTGTCTAATAATGGTCTATTGCTATCGAAATCGATTCGTACAAGAATATGCGCATTCAATTAATTTTACTACAAATAACATGTGGCTAATGTTAGTCTACCTATTTGAAAACTAAAGTGGCTAGAAGACTGGCTTGTAGCGTGAAGAACTGATGATAAAATGAGAAGAAAAGTCTAGATTTTTTTTGCAGGAGACGAATGATTTAGATACCTACCTGTGCCATACAGTGCGGTGGAAAATTAGTAAGTCAAGATGGTAAGTAGGTATACTAGTTATTAGTATGCTTACTCGCATATACTGCCTATTGATTGAATATAGATACTTAATAATTTCAGAAATTGAGCACACTGCAAGAAATAGCAGATGCGTTATCCTAGTAGTTTACGGGGATTTGGTTCCGGGAGAAGATTCTGCGCGAATCTGCGCATCGTCATTTTCTCACAAACCATCAATAAGCTGCTATCTACAAACAGCTTCAGCACATTCGCGGAAATTGTTTATATTCGCAGCCATGGTGTTTATTTCAGTCAGCACTTCATTTTTATGGTGCCTAGCAGACAAGTTCTGTATGTCGGCGAGTATGTAGAGAACGTACATGATGCTATCATTATGCGATGAATTGATTTCCATAATAGCTTAGGATACTTCCTATCCAAATAATATTCATTCGCGTTTTATATTTATTACCTACTTGTTTGTTGTTCAGAATTATTGATAGATTGGTAACAAATGTTATTGACATCTAGGCGGCATTATGCATACTAAAGCGTAGCACCATAAGGACTGGTGGTACTTCCGGAGCCCCGAAAGGAAAAGAAATACCCTCGCGAAATTACGATTCCGCGCACGCAGCCGATATTGCCAGCTCCCAGGTTCTCAGGCTGTTTGTTATCAAATGCAAATCGTTGACTTCCAAATTTGGCTGGGACCTGCTATGAAGTGCATTAATGTTTCTAAGAAATCATATTCGCAGGTACGGAAATTGAAGTGGCCGCACGTATTTGTTTACTACTTATCTACCTCCGGTTTGCGACGGGATAGTATATTGTGATATCTAACGAATTACTTTTAAAAATTTAAAATTCAACAATCATAGACGTTACACAAACATCATCTATACGTTTGTGAATCCACCTAATTGACCTTGTTAAGTGGTTCGCTGGAAGCCCGTTCATCTAACTAAAGTATGATCGCGCACGTCATCGATTGCTCCGCGTGTATGATATATCGATAATACCGACCAGATTCGATTCTATTATTGACTGCGCAAACATCGTGTGAAAGGAAGCTTTTGGGCCATTTCCTGGAGCGAGAGAAATGGGGCCGGCCGTGACGCACGTTTTTACCTCGGCATCCGCTCATAATAAGACGATTTTTTTATAGACACATTCCGTAATTAAAAACTTTGGAGTGCTGCGGAACTAGTCAATATAATTTTCGGGATGCGGTGTCTAAATGTTTTTTCAGTTCGTTATTTATTGAAGTAAGTTTGGTTTTTATGAGGATGGATGTTAACAAAATAACAATATTATGAAGAAGTGGATCTGATTCTGTCTGAAAAAAACATATTTAAGCACTGGAGACTTTTACTATTTCCTACTATTTATAGACGTTTTACAAACCAAAGCATGTGCGAAAAAGTTTTTCCAAAGTTTACATGCGGTCCTCCGAGGAAAAATAGGAACAAAATTATAATAGTCTTTCAAGTAATGTTTCAATTTTCTTAATTTATTCACTCACTCGAATCCTTCACGCTTAAATCATTTCTAATAGGTACCATTATCATATTATGTATATTATTATGCCTTTCAGACATGCAATGTTGCAAATTGCCCGTGGGCGTAGTCTAAGTGCACCGGGTTATTTAGGTGCGCGGTGCAAACATTTTAATTAATAATCTAAAATAGTCGAAGAATTTATAGCACGTTTTAATCAACAAAGCTGGTTATTGGATGTGAGTGAACAAAGTGCAATAAGCGAGTGTTAATTTTGTTTTTTATTCCTTTCACATTGATGTTTGATGCGCTTTAAGTTTTTTAAATGCATCCATTAATTTGGATTTAAACTTGGATTTGTCTATCCTTATTTCTGACGCATTAGATTCTAATGCGTCAGAAATACATCTAATGATTAGATGTTATTTAAAAAAATCCCTCAATGTTAGGATTCTCTCTCTGGATATCAAACATACGTATTGTTTTGTTGTTGGTGTCATTATTTCCCGCTGCAGTGGTGTTGTTATTGGGATAGTAAAGGAGGCGTAGTAAGGCCGTGATCATGTGCGACGTGACCAGAGTTTCGATCCGAGGACACAACGGGCGAGTCGTGGATGCGGGGATCGTGTCTCCATTGTATTTGTATTCCAGGATAAGTTTAATGTGGACGGACTTGCGGACGGCAGCAAATAAAACTGCTCTACGAACTTTTTCCTCTATGAAAAAAATGCATCTGTACAATACTGTACATGTAACAAAATAAGAGGTAACGTGTCGGACTACGTCTTACAGCAGCTGTGGTAAAGGGAGCACACGAAAATAATATTTTACAATGGTCCTACCAATAATTCCAGACGATCAGCAGCAGAAACAGGTAGCGAGTTAGCACGGTTTATTCAGCAAAACCCAAAATGATCTATCGACCCCCAGGGTCTAATATTGTCATGTCCAAGAGGTCTGTGGTAAAGTGACCTCGTAAGTGAAGTGACGAACGAGTATCATCATTAACCGGTAGGTAGTGTAAAAGCCGTGGTAAAAGTTTGGGACTAGATTTAATTTTTTTTAAATAGAGAGGATGAAAATGGAAACACGCTCTACCTACTGGCTCTTAGGCCTCAGCCTCGAACTTAGCGGGCAGCGGGGCGGCGGCGGCGGCGGCGCGGGAGCGGCAGGATCTTATGCGTAAAATCAAATGGACCGGTTCTCGAAAACAGCGGCGCGGCAGCGGCGCCGGAGCGGGCAACGAGCGGGCAGCGGCGAGGGAGCGGGCATCGAGCGGGGAGCGCACTCCTTCTTTTGCCCACAATAAATCGAGGGTTAGGAATAAATTTGAATCGAAATAAAATTGTCGCCGTTGTTCAGACATTTCGTTTGCGAATAAAAACAAATATCTCGACAACACAACCCCGAACACAACACTTCGCCGCTAAAGCGCCGCGCGAGCTTCCCGCTTGTTTCGAGAACGGGTCTGCGTTGCCCGCCCCGCTCCAGCGCCGCCGCCGCTCCCGCCCCGCTGCCCGCTAAGTTCGAGGCTGAGGCCTTACGCCGAAATCGAACGATCAGCTCACACCGGCCGCGGGAACCCAGACCACCGCTGATCCTTTATCCGTCAGAACTGCAGCAGCATACTAATTTTCAAGTTCACTGATCAAGTGCATTCACTTGTTTGTTGTACTAAAATGTCAATTACAGGAAAATAGAGCGTATGGAGATGGAAACACGTCGAAATTACTCCGATTACTCCGAAATCAATCGATTAGCTCGAATGGCGGGAATTCAGACCCCTACTGAAAGTTTATCCCACAGTTGGCACTGCAGTAGAATTATAATTTCAAGTTCAACGATCAAGTGCACTCGCTTTGTAGAACTAGAACCAGTATGGTCTGGATTCCTCGACGAGTGTAGAATATTTTTATAGCTGAACCTAGTGCTTTTCTTTAATAATGCTGATTAAGGCTTGACGATAATGCTATCCTTATTTTCACTGTCTTTGTTTGGCTTTTGCTTACAGAGAGAAACGCAGATAAGGATTTTGCTCGATAAACTTTTTTTTGGTCCGTGGAATCTGGGAATTTCGAAAATGGCTTTGCAAATCCTCATTATCGTCAGCTCTGGGGCAGTTGGCTCTAGTTTGTTATTTACCTGCTCGGTGTTTGTTACATGTATCTAGGTTTATGTGTATGGCATTTTCAAGTTAACATTATCTTAGTAGAACCAGAGTAGAACTGAGAGATATCTACGTAATTAACAGATTTTTTGGCAGTCGTTCCTAAGTTTTAACAGCCGCGTTCGCTTTCATGAGTGAGTGTCTAATCTCTATGCTGTGCACGAGATTATTATGTGTTTTCTGGCTACAATCTGAGATCATAAACCTAAAATTTAGACAGCTGTTTATTGTTTATATCCGGCCCAGTGCGTCTAGGAACACCGAATGTTCTGTTATGAAATGAGAATTGTCATTCTTAAAAATAGCGTGAGCTGTAACCTGGAAAATTTTTGGCATGCGATATTAAAAATGATTTAATTTTGTTTTCATAAATTTCCATATTTTCCAATGCAAATAGCTAGGTAGTAAACTTCGTTTTCGTATGCAGAGCGGTGGCATGTTAAATAATAAACTCTTACTAAGAAACAATTAGAGGTGCTCAACGATAATTAAGTAGTTAGGTGTAATAAGATAGCGCATTTTTTCCATTTAAATGAAGTAACCTGGTTTCTAGGCTGGGTGACACTAATTACTTAACTATGCTTTGGTTGTTTGATGTCCACGTTTTATCTACTGAGATCAAAATTACCTTCTTCATTATACCATAGCAAATCTATCCTACTGCCTGCTTATATTTGCAGGTAGGTAGGTACTTGAACTCCCTATTTTTCAGTGCCGAATGTTCAGCAAATTGCGACGTTACGCCCCACTGGATCAATCTGGTTTTTTGTTCGCGTCATCAAGGTTCAACAGCCCAGTAAATCATCGACGTAACGCTGTTTATCGGTAATAGTTGTCAAAAATCGGCATCGGCGGAAGCGTAGGGCTTCCCGGTCGGCCCGAGTGATCGGGCGGAAGCGACGCGGGGCTCCCGCTCGCGACGACCCTGCATTACAAATAGCCCACTAATGAACGCACGTGCGTGCACCGAGCTGCCTCTGCTGAGGGTCGATTACCTGCTTTCACCTTACGCCTAGAGATCCTAGGCTGCCTGCGCTCACGACTGGATTACTCGACGGCTCGCAGTTTACGTTGGCTAATGGGCTTGTCGTCGTAACACATATGCATTTCTTGCATAAGGAATATTTTGTTTGCCGTAAGCAGTTCAGTCTTCGCGTATCGGATTCAGATATTTGTTATAGGGCATTTCTTAGATCTACGAGTATACAGGGATAGATGATCTGAGGGGATAGCCAACACGCATGTTTAAAAAAATCGGCTTTTCAATTTTAACAGGACCCTAGAATCAGTGGTTGCGTATCATTGGATTTGTGATTCCTGTCACCATGCTATGCCGGTTGCATTCTGTTAAGACCGATTTGGAAAGTGTATTACCCACCTACGTTGCGACACAATCGCTGGGTGCACTTGTTTGAAGCGTGCTTGATGGCATCATTAAAATTTGATCGGCATCGATCACGCGTGCAGGCATCCGCGGCCTCGATTATAGTGACACTATGACTATACCTACTGTCCTGTCCACCTACTAGATAAAAACCAGCTGCCCATTTTAATTTAATAAATCTATCTATAAATATAACCATGCTGACGATTAGAGCATATTCTCATATTATACATCATGGCATGGTGAAAATAGCTTTTCTAGCTAGCAGACCAAAATATAGAGCCGTTTTCACTTACCAAAAAATACAGAGGATATAACAGCAAACATAACCATCAATCAACCATAAACCAAGATCAAAGCTAAATAATATTTTCTTTCTAAAGAATATGAACAAAGCAGATCCTTGGAAATATTTTCTAATAAAAATATGATGGATAATCCCGTAAAGATATTTTTGATCTCGTTTTTTACGTTTTATTTACATGCGCAGCGCAAACATGTTTTTTATTTGGCAAGCCTATGGCGTCGGGTGCCCACTCGTGTGTGCACACTGGCAAGTGACCTCCAGTGCGGGCCGAATCGAAAATAAATAAAGGCGGACACGGTGCGGGCGCCAGAACCGCGACTGTAGAGTGACCAACTGCATCAGATATTTAGATTTTTAAAGATCAGGTAACATTTCAAGACCAACTTGGCAACTACTGCCGCAATACAAGCTGCAGACATGAAAAGGGTGAGAATTTCTGTCAGCTTTAGAATAAACGAAGATGTAAAGAATCAATGTATGGCATCGTTTACAGTCATGTAATGCAAATTCTCGCTTGAAAAAGGTTACAATTTAGTTCTTAGGTTCTAGTCTGACATTCGCAAGCGCAACGTCCCGAATTCGGGATACTATGTGTAATCCCTACCCGCGAGACGCGGAGTGCGCCACGAGACAGTAATATTTCAAACTGGCGAGGTGCCAGCGAGGATCCACGAGTCGCCGTAATGAGAGTTACGACCGTGTAAACATTCCTTTTTCGGGAACGCTTTGTGAAGGTTATGCACTCCTTTAAACACGTACCTAAGTTCATTGCGGGACCGCGGGTATGTGGGGATGCCTTTCTCTTCTTTGATGTTGTACACAAATTTGATCTTTTCATCTTGTTTTTTGATAAAATGTAGATGTCCTTTACGGGTCTAACTAATGACAGTTTAAATTTCCCCTGGGACAAACATGGTGGTACTTAGATTTTATGAGCTCTACATAGGAGTGGCAGTGATAAGATCGAGAGGTAGAATTAGTCCGTAACTACTTTTTAAAGTTATTCTTTACAATTTATTTATTTATTATTATTATTTATTTACAACTTTACAAATTGCCCTTATTTGCCCAAGTTCTACACTTTCATTAGTTTCTTCTAATAACAAAAATGCCGGTGTAATTTTTGCCTATTCTACCTACACACTGAAAATCTTGAGAATTCTCAAAGAAAACATCGGCAGCAATTTGATAAAAGATCTTCGATCGGCTTAGTATCAAAACTTCCTACTTAGTTATTTTGTGAAAATTTAATTTTATGTGTTGTTAACTCACCAAGCAGAGCTTCTTTGCCGACATGCACGTTGCAGTAGATGTGGTGCGAGGCGGGCGCCACCGGTTCAGTGGGCGACTCCCCGCCGGCTTCCATCAGCTTCATCTTCGCAGTCAGGTCCTGCATGTCTGCGGATGAGAAACTACTGCTCAAATGCTTAGACACGATATGGCTATTTGATCGAACTGGCTCAAACTGGAAGCGGTAACCTCAGAAGGTTACCGCTTGCGCTTAAGCTTCCATGCTCACACTGATGATATTGGTGTATGTATTTGAAAATGTTTGGTGCATTTCGATTTTCGCGAAGAGTACTTGTACCACTACTCCTCGAGTTGTGTCGAGATGGTCAATGCTATACGGGTATAAAATATAGTTATCTGACTCCCTAGATCTTAACAAATGTGTTAAACAATGGGTTTCTAGGCAGAACTTGTAAATCTATCCATTTGGGAGACATATGAATCAGTCACTCATCGGTGACTTTTAATGAACAATTATGTGATGTCACAAGAAATTGTTAATTGTATTTTATATCACTAGCACTTAACTGGGTGCAATTACCGTGAAATTGAACTATGAGTCATCATCAGCACAAAATATAACAGAAGACAAACTCCATACTAAACGCGCTCGAGCCACGCACACATAGACAGACACCGCTCGAGCAAGACTGTCTTGGACGAATGCGAGCGCGACGTGGCGCGACAGACAGACGTTCGCCACACGTTCCCTGTGGTTCGCTTGAGTCACGCGCCGGTCAACCGCCTGTGATATTATTTTGTTTTGCGCAATTGACGAAAATGAGTGAACAGAAAAAGTCGTATTTTAATTGTTCGGTATTTGGTTGCTTAAACTCATCATTAAATGCCGAATTTTCATTTTTTAAATTACCAGTTGATTCGGGGAGGTAAGTAAGTTATTTATTTGAATTTCAATTGAAATTGAAAGCCAACTCAATTATTAGGAATATCGAATTGTTTAGAGAGGTTTTAGGAATTATTAGATAACTAGCTTTTGCCCGCGGCTTCACCCGCGTGAAATTTAGTTTGTCACAGATCGTCATAAATTATAGCCTATATATTATTCAGGGTTATAAACAATAATACTGTAAAGTTACATCAAAATCCGTTCAGTAGTGATCGCGTGAAAGAGCAACAAACATCCAGACATCCAAACTTTCGCATTTATAATATTAGTTGGATAATAGTGTCAACCACTCAACTAAATACTATTTCCTTCTCGTGTATTTGTTTGCAAACTATTACTATAATAACGTACTAAATATAAATAAGTATACGTGGATATCTGTTATTGTCTTTCTTGCATAGTATTAAGAGTTACATTTTTCTATCATAACGAAATAAACGCAACACATGACAAGACAACCCTAGCGCGACGGCCGAGCGTGCGAGCGAGAGAGGTATGCAAAGCGAGGTACATACATGAGTTTACCTTCTGTTATATTTTGTGTCATCAATTTACTCGTATATGAAATTATTGAGTGTTAGAAACCGATGAGTTTCTAATGCTTGTTCTAATTTCGGTGCAACGAAAAAACCGTTAGCCATTGTACCGCGTGCGGTCCGCTTCACAGGTCAAAATTAGTAGCGCACATGTTCAAACAAAAGCCGATTGTTTACCGCAGACGCGTGCGCAGCGCCAACTCTCGGCTCCACAACACAAATCCAAGCCTATAAATATTCTGGTGTGTTGATCGGTTCATGGTAAAATCATCTACCTATTTTCTTTAATATAAGCCCATTTTTCAAACCAAAACAATGTGTCTTACTTGAATTTATCTCAGTGGAATTTAGGGCGAAGCGTGTAAGAATAGAAATCAGAACAATGGCTCTACTTTGGGTTGTAACGATTTTAGTTGCACATGCTCCTATGATAACAAATCCCAAATACATACTGATCCTTGACGTTTATCTTAAACTTATCCTTGAAATTTAATAGCGTAAAATAATTAAAAAATATTTTTGATCACCAATACGGGTTGTTAGCATTCTAATGCCGTCTCCGATGTATTCGTTTGGATAATAAATACAGTACACGGAGGTATCGTGATCGTGTTCACCGGTCCTGAATAAATAAACCGTTGCGTTTAGGTAACATTTTAAGTTAGTTTACATTTTGTTTACGTTGGCAGTATTGATTGCTGCTAAATAAATTAATACGTTTGCAATTGAAATGTAGAGGCCAATGTAGTTAGAGAAATAAAAAAATCTTTTTTATTTACAGAAAATCTTGAAGGTTTCATATAAAATTTTGAGCGGAATTTCTGAAATAGCAATTCCGCGAATAGGAGATTCTGAAAAGTTTCTAATATTTTCAATTCAAATGTAGAGTCAAACCTGTGAAGTAATTGACTAATCACTTGCTCATTCATCTGATTCATTTTGACTAGATTTGATATTGGTTTCGTTACTTTAATGATAACAGTAAAATGTCGTCATCTATCTAGCTCCAAGTTGTATTTCTGGTGTGGGACTACCGGGATCTTCGGAGAAGAATATGAAAATACTCATAAACAATCGTTTAAACTGCTTAGAGCTGGTGAACTCACCTGACTGAAGAGTTTGCTTCAACACTTTCCACTGCTTCGCGTGGGATAGTGAAAGATACAACACCACTAAAAAGAAAACTACACAGCCGCTCGCGGCAATCGCCACACTGGGCGCTTGGAAGTCCCATTTGTCCTCACTGTCATTTATCACTTCACTCTCGTAGTCCGAGTAATCATCTTCATAGTCACTGGTTGTGTCACTTTTTGTTCTGTTTTGCGTTTCGAAGGGGAACAGTTGTATTTGGAAGAGGGGTTGGCAGACTGTGTCCCTGTGTAGTTCGCAGGGGAGTCGGACCGCTAGGCGCTGGTCGGGGTCGCAGCGCGTGCAGGGGGCGCAGGCGGCGCGCTCGCGGTCCCACCAGCTCACGCCGCGCTGGCACCTCCTCATGCCCTCGGCGCGAGCGCACGCATAGCTCAGGGCTAGTGTCGCTACCAGCAAGCACAGGTTGTTCCCTCGCATTACCTGAATATATCACAAATACTTATATTCAGCATTCAACTCACTGGTTGATCAATCCTTGATTTATCTGGATCGTTTCCTTCCTAGCGATAAGACCGCCTAAATTGCACCGTTTCTTTTTTGTCTATTCTGTGTGGTGTACCTACATAATATGGCTGAAAAATCTAGTTGGGTTTTTAGCGCCACTTATTTCTCGATATGTTGTCATGTAGAGTTGGTAGGATAATTTTAGATTAAGTATGTACTTACTGCTGTTTGGACCTATATTACTACATCTACTTATTGCTAGTAAAACATGCAGGTCAACCGTTTGATAAATAAAAAGTGGACTCTATTGCGCCCAACAACCAGCCAGCAGGATTTGATGCTTGGAGGTTGGAGGATTGGGCAGTTTGGATGCGGAAGTTCAAAGGTAAGTAAATTTATTATAGGTAGAGCAAATAGGACCGTACTACTCCGTCTTAGTATCCAAATCTATTCAAGGGGCTATCCAGGCAGTCGACAATGAACATTAAGATAAATAATAATTTAATAACAATTAAGATGAAACGATGCAATTTACAACTCACATACATCACATAAATTCAAGAAGTTAAGAAAAAACTTACCGTATTGCTCAAGATCATAATGATCTTGTATTTACAAAGGCCCTCATCTCAATATTGCAGTTATTAGAAAGCACACTTTCACCAGTTTCACATTATAGGTTGTATTGTTTGTGTACTTCACTTGACTTGTTCTTATGGTCATTCACTGTCACTTGGTTTAGCGTTACATAAATTGTTTTGTGGAGGTCGTGATTGCGGCGATGCGCCTGCGGTTCTGATGGGTGCGGACGCGGTGTGCCAGCCGCGCCATCTCATCGACTGCCTGCCGCGCGTCGTCGTAGCCCTCCTCCCACGCAGGATGCGCGCACTCGCTTAGTAGATTCACTTCAATACAAACGACGTCAAAATATCGCGGGATTGCGGGTCCATTTATCCAGATTACAGCCGGCCACTACATTATTTAATGAATAAGAAGGATAGAAGGGCACTGAAAAGTAGCAATTTATGTAATCCCAATGTCTATCTCTTTTTAAGTCTACCACTAACTTTCAAAACGCTTTTCTCTCAGTTCTTATTCGTAAGCATTCGGCTTACCATAAGGCTAAATATGTACTGTACGTATACTATTAGGTACATAAACACCCTAACTAAGGCTGATTTTAAAAGAAAGTAACTGAAAAAAAAGTCACTAATTTTAAAAAGATTGAAAGTAGGTAGGTAAGTAGAGATGGTGGAAGAGGGTGGAAGTTTGCGAAAATAAAATACACTGATTTTGGTGAAGCTTTATAAGTAATATTTACTTAGATCTAACAAGGTTCAACGAACTGTTTTTGTTGAGTTGACTTTGTTTTTCTATGCTTTGGAGATTGAATTTTCAAACTGAGCAGGAGATGTCACATCAAGTATTTGGTATCTTCTGCATCATTTGAGTTCGATATTTGAGATCCTGTTGTGGAAGATGAGGGTAGGCGATTCCGCGCCTTTGCTTCAATTATACATTTATACGTTAAATTGTCAATATCATTCATCAACTTTAATCGATCATCTTCATCTAATTTATTTAATTTCCGTGCTAAAAGTTCGACGTAAATGTCACATTCGTCTGCAACTTTGTGAATATCATTTTGCATTGATCTATTTTTATGATTTAATATTCGATAATTCGAATATTCATCCATTTCTCTATTTGCAACACCGAAATCTTGTCCTTCACGACGCCGTTTTCTGATACTTGAGTTACTTGGTTTGAGATATTGACTACATTCATCTACATCGCTTTGTGATTCACTAGCATCTAACGTCGGATCCTGAAATTAAATGGAATATTAACTGTATCAATTTCAACTCCACAAATAGAAGTAAATGAAGAATGAAGTTCTCTCCCAGATAAAGGGAATCCCAAAGGTAATCTTCCAGACATAAAAAATACACAGACGCGACGGTACTATTGTCGAAATAGGATCTAGGTTAATTCTTTATTGAAATAAAAAATAAGGTGTTATTTCTGCTTGCCTCAATGAAAACTATGGGTTGGGGTTCATAGACTTCACCCAAATAGCTATTCATCAAATCGAAAGCAAACCACGTAGGTCGGTAGATGTCGTCTTCTCGGGATCCTGACATTGTAGAATCTCTAATTTTCTTCAAGTAATCCCTGTACTGTGTAAACAGAGTATTTTTCTTCCTCCTTAACTCTTCGATTGTGCATTCCATAGAAAAATCAGTTTTAATACGGATCCATGCATCCTTGATTAAATTTCGATTCTTGTGATTTGTACTATTAGTCCTATGTTTCCATAGGATTGGTTCCCCTTGCAATAACTCCAGAAATTCTATTACTGACGCATTTGACCACTCCATTTTTATACGAGAAACTTTTTTTTGCCTCAACTCAGCCTCTGACTCAGTGACCGTGTGATAATCTGGGCTGAAAAGAAAGACTGTATTTATGGTTTAATTTGCTTAACCGTCCCTTACTGTTCAAAAGGTACATAAGTATCTTAGAACATGAAGTCGGAGTTGTTTAAATATGCATAGTTTGCGCCCTTTTAGTTCTTCGCCCGTGAACATTCTATTCTTAGAATAATAAAGCATTCTATTAATTACGAAAGATATTATACCATTTGGCTTGTATTCTTATTTATTTGTTCTAAATAGACCGCAATGAAACAGCTCAGAATTCAATTTAATGTTAGTTATAAATTTTATCCTATTGTAGTTGATCTAAAATTAAATGATCAAACTCCGCCCGATCCATCCCGCCTTTCGAATTTGAAAAATGTGGCCACGCGCGCGCGCCTGAGTTTATGGATCGACCACAGATTAGAGAGTATGTCTAAAGGGATCGACCACAGATTAGAGATATGGATATGCTGTTTTTTTTTATCTATGACGGCAGAATTGTCAAATTCCAAGTGTCAAAGTTGTCAATCTCAGAACTGTCATTCTCATTCGTATCGTGAATCGATTTTAAAATTTTGTTTAACAATTTTATTTCAGAAATACTTTATAAATAAATTGTACCAGCATTTTAATATAAGCGTACGCTGACCTTTCAATAGAAAAAATACGTGCAGTATTCATCGGAATATCTATCAATCTTAAAATATTTTTTAACATTAATCAGGTCAGGAAACACAATGGTTCGTCAAAGAAATTCTCGCACAACCGATGAAGCAGGTGATGTTCAAGAACCCATCGTTTCTTCCACCGTTGACATTCCTTTCCCAACTATCACGAAGCCAAGAGTATGCAATATACGACAAGAACGTATTGGACTCTTCTATCCTCTCCCTATAACAAGTACCTATCGTTCCTTCTATTTGATTCCTTATCCTTATTCCTTCCTGATGTAAATAATTTTATCTTATAAATAAATTTTGGCATAGTGTTTATTAATTTCATCTTTAAACACATTTTCTATTCCCATTTACAGACTATCAACCCATGGTCACTACTACTACTGATAAGAACATAACTACTTCAAAGTCTCTCTTTCTTGTGCTGATAATCTTTGTATCTTCTGTGATGACTTTGGCACTCGTTTATACCCAATTCCCAGATTTAGAAGAGTAAGTTGTGAAAAATAATTAAGAATTTATTCATTGTTTTTTGTGATGGAAATAAAATTTTAATATTCTTTTACTAAATGTTACAGACATGAGAAACCTCATGTAAAACTGCCATGGGATTTGGAAGAGGCTAAGCAACTGGGACTTGTATTGGATCGCTACAAAGACAAATACTTTTATGAAGTAATGTTTGGAGTGTTTGTCATTTATATTTTGTATCCTTTTCATATTATAAAAAAAGAAAGAATTATAATATTATGTAAGCTTTGTAAGAAACTAGTATTTTTATCGCCAAATCTAATAAAAAAATATTATCCTTCACTCAAGTTACAGTTTGCAAACATTTGCAATACCTGGATCAATTTTCCTGAGTATACTTTCAGGATTTCTATTCCCATTTTATTTAGCTCTTCTTTTAGTTTGTTGTTGCTCAGCAATTGGAGCAAGTTTATGTTTCTTTTTGTCTAATTTACTTGGGAAGAAGCTTGTGAACAGATATTTTCCAGAAAGAGCAGCACAATGGTCAAAAGCTGTTGAAAAGCACAAAAATAACTTGCTGAACTATATTATATTTCTGAGAGTGACTCCATTTTTGCCCAATTGGTTTATAAATATGACTGCACCTGTAATAGGTGTGCCTCTCATTCCATTTACTCTAGGAACATTTATTGGTTGGTATATTATTTGTGATTACAAACTATTTTAGAATTAATAATTGAATATTTTTAATATGGAATTTGTTTCATTTCAGGAGTGGCACCTCCATCATTTGTTGCCATCCAAGCTGGTCAAACACTGCACTCCCTGACATCCACAAGTGATGCTTGGTCATGGACATCAATCATCGTTCTTAGTGCCTTTGCATTAATATCACTGATCCCAGTATTATTAAAGAATAAACTACAGGAAAAATTTGATTGAATATGAACTAGTAATTTTTAGTTAAATGTATTTAATATTTATTAAATAAATTTGTTTTGTACATTCCATTTTTTCTTATTTTTTTAACAATATGATCCAACATGGCCAATAAATGTGTCATTGCTATGAGATGGTTGTATAATAGGTCTCCAATACCACCAGTTGTACCATACTGAAAATAAGTTTTTTTTTTCATTTACCACAGCATAAAATTAAACAATAGAGACATGTATAAATTAACATAATTAATACTTACATAAGTATTGTTCCTTCAGTTCGACTTTCAAAGATTTACACTGATGCTTGCACTCTTCAGCGGGTTTTAAGTTAATTATTCTGCTTCCACTCAGTGCAAGTAGAAATGAAAAATTACATTCAGTATCAGGAACTTTGGATAAATGTTGACTTGAGTCAATAATAATAAATCTTTCAGTACTCTGTCCAAACTTAGGTACTACCTTTGGCCTGGGAATAAATTGTCGCAATATTCTTGCTGCATGCATATTGTTGAATTTCCTGAAATTATAATTGGAATATGTTACTACACAAATAAATATAGGTCATTATAAATAATTAATATTATGTTGTAAATAAAACATACACATACCAGACATAAAATGTGCTTTCCCCTATATGATTTTTTGTAAACATTTCAGTAGGTGTAATATAATATTTGTTGTCAACATGAATCTTTGGTGATTCTCTTTCAAATGTTACTTTATTTACATTGAATATTTCTGTTAGCATGTGAAAATTTATAACTTGTTGATCTGTCTGAAATGTTTGACAAAAGTGGAATTGAATGTCAATAAAATGTGATGTTGCGTTTACACTGGGCGGAAATTAGCAAAGTCAAAAAAACAGTGGGGTGGGGATGAAAAATGAATGAATTTCATCCTCACTCCTCTGTTTTTTTTTACTTGACTCTGCTAATTTCCGCATAGTGTAAAACCGCCATTATAATTTTAATATGTATAGTTGTTTTTGTTATTACCTCATAAATGAAAGGAGCGTTTTGTTGGTTGTTAGGTGTTGGGTTTATCATCTCTCTTACATTATTGACTGAGCTACACGGCCAGCAATCCATGTCCACCACAGTAAAGAAAGGGTTTTGTATCAGGCATGTTTCATGGTATAAATCTGGAAAATGTAAAGTATTCTAATTCAAATTATTATTGTTTTTAGTAAATAGAGTATGATGCTAATCCAATTTTAATGATAACCTATGCCCTTTAATGAACAGAAACATATCAAATATTTGTTGTAAATAATTATAATTATGTGTTTTAATCAAAGGTAATGATAGGAAAATAATGAGCTATGAACTCACCAGTAAGAGACGGGAATAGTGATATAAATGGTATTGCAATTTTTCTAAACAATCTCAAGCCAGGATAAATGTATTCTTGTAAGTGACAAACAATACAGCTGTATATTATTTGGTAATGATAAGCACAGCAAGCTAACACGATTGTTAAAAAGAGTAAAACTTTGTATTTTGTTTTGATTCTTTCGTTATTGGATTCTCTGCGTTGTTTATTATCCAGTTCTTGAAGGGTCTCAATGTATATGTTCCTGAATTCTTCTTCACTTATTCCAGAATTCAAACATTGTTGACGAAATCTCTTGATTGACTCGGAATAATCCTGTAGAACATTTTGGTTCACCATGGTTTTGTTAAAAATTAGGCAAACAAAGTAAATATATTATTAATTATTAGAATAAAACAGTAGCATTGGCCACATCTGCATTTAAAGTATTTAATTATTTTNTTTTCTTTAAATAACTTTATTTATTTTCAAATAAAATCGTACAACTTATTTTGACACTTTTTTGACAGCAATGACAGGATCATCATTTTTGTTTCTTTTTTGTTTTTCAGCAAAAGGCAAGGACATCATACCATACAGTTACAGCCGTGCCAGAATACTTCCCACCCCTTGAGTTTCAGTAAAGTTGTGATGCTTTACTGAGACGTCATAATGTAGACCTAAGAGAATCCGAAAACTCATGGTGCACTGTTTTTTTTTCATTTGCCTATACTCTGTACACTCATGCACGTTCACGAACAACTCCTGTCTTAGCCGGAGCTATAATGTAGTATGTCTACCTATTTACTAGTTACTACTCTCTTCCATGCTTTCTACATATTTTTTCTGATGGCTTGCTTGCATAGTCTCTGTTCTAGTAAACTCTCTAGAACCTCTACCTACCTACACCTACCTACGTAGAGTGACCGAGCATGAAAGAAAGAAACGGACTACTGCGCCGGTTATAGCCTACTTATTTTCAACTAAGTAAATGTCTATTGAAATACCTATCTGAAATGCATCATTAAAATTTAAACTCTACATTAGTCCGCGAGTATGGGACTCCATGGAACTTTAAAAGAGCTCGCTGCCCAGTAAACATATTACGACGGTCTCAGAACGTTTGTTTGGTTTACCGCTCTTTTTCAGTGCTGGTGTACCTACTTAATTACTCCTTCACGCTCACAAGAAGAACTCTTGAACCTTTGAAGAGATGCAGTGCTGATCAATTCATATCCTATTAGCACCGAATGAAGAGTGTTACATGGAAAAATGAATGTCTAGCTTTAGGCATTACCATTACTAACCATACATATTAAATAATGTAGGCTTTATTATAATGAAATACCTATGTACATACTATAGTTAAAAATTAATTAATAATTTAAAGCACGGAACTGGGAAAACGGGTCAAGGTGAGTGACCACGCAAGGTACCGACATACATTACTTACTTACCTACTACTTACTTCACCCTTAGATTAATGAAGCCTTGCCTTCACCTACCATTTCGTTCGTTTCAGCCGAAAGACGTCCACTGCTGGACAAAGGCATCCCCCAAGGATTTCCACAAAGACCGGTCCTGCGCCGCTCACATCCAGCCTGCTCAGATCCAGGCACCTCCCGCGACCTTCTCCAGATCGTTGATCTGCGTGATCGAATCAGAAATGAGGAGATCCGTAGGGGAACCAGAGTGACTGACATATGGCAGTGGGCGGGGCACATAGCTCGTAGAGCTGATGGCCGCTGGAGCAGGAAAGTTCTTGAGTGGCGACCACGAGCCGGATGACGTATCGTGGGCAGGCCTCCCACTAGGTGGACCTACCATTTATCTTTAAATATTTCCAAGTTTGCTGTTTCCATTACCTACTAAAAAAAAATATATTAATTTTAATTATTATTTTACTTATTGAATAAGGTAACCTATTTGCTTTAATTTACGTTAATTTATATTAAATACTTATTTAAAATCCGTAAATTAAAGCAATTATAGGTGCTTACTTAAGCATTCGTCATTTGTCTGTTTTTCCAGATTTGCTATTAGTTTTTACCTAACGATCATCGAAGTCAGTCGTCACAATTTAGGTTGCTGTTCCCTATCAAAATGGGTTTACATTAAAATATGTAGGTGGGTGATTGTTTCATAAGAGACCGACGTAGATCGACCTTTAAGTATCCCAACTAATATTATAAATGCGAAAGTAACTCTGTCTGTCTGTCTGTCTGTTACGCTTTCCCGCTTAAACTTCGCAACCGATTTTGATGAAATTTGGCATAGAGATAGTTTGAGTCCCGGGAAAGAACATAGGATAGTTTTTATCCCGGTTTTTGAAACAGGGACGCGCGCGATAAAGTTTTTCTGTGACAGACAAAAATCCACGCGGGCGAAGCCGCGGGCGGAAAGCTAGTAGTACATAAATACCTACAAAGGTTTGCGAAAGGTCCGTTACACAAATTGCATTGTTAAGTAGGTACCTATGCACTTATTACTACGCAAAAGGGATATCTCATGCACAATGCATGCATCGCCGATGAAATTCAATGTAAAATATGAATTATTTATGTAAAATGCATCGAATTAAAATAGTCCTTGCTTTGATTTGTTAATATAATACAATTTCACAAATAATTTGCTGTAATTTGTATTAGGTATATTGACTTCTTTCACTGAGACGATAAGATAAGACAAAGTAGCTATGACTTGGGGCCTTTCGATAAGGCGTTCGATGTAATAGAGTCCTGTCAATACGCGACGATAAATGCTCTCTGTCTACAACTATTGAAAATAAAGTGAATACAGTTAACTAAGAGAAAACAAGTGAAGTGGGAATGTTTGTGTTGTGTTAGAAAATCTATATTTGTGGTCCTTCAAAAATGTTGATACCGTTCGGAGAATGCGGAAAGTTAGTGGAATAAGATGGACATCAACTCGAGAGCACAAGGTGTGGGATCGTGGAACTGGCCTCTTCTGCTGTCGGTTGTGCTCTTGAATGTGCGTAGGTATTTCATAAACTAAAAAATCATGACCAAGAGATAGACAGGCAATTCATCAGTGGAAAACGCCCTTCTTTTCTTTTTCCATTCGTCTATATTAGACGCAATGTTTTAGCCGCGCCCATAAAATATCCAAATAACAAAGAGCAATAAGAATATCAACCTCACCTTCTGGACTTTAAAGTTGAGGATTAAACGTGCTCTGCTTAAGGGCAACGATGTTGTGGAACAGGTTAACTCTACCTTATAGTTACAAAATTCGTCTTTATAACCATAAAAAATAATATAATGTGCCAAGATAAATTATTTACAAAATTACGCCGTACAATGACGTCAATGACTTCGCCTATTACAAAACACACGAGAAAACAATGTCAAATATGCACTCTTGAAAGATAACGGTATGATTCTACCTATTTGCAAAGTTATTTTCAAATGCAAGTAATCATTTTACAACTAACGCATAACCACCTACCTTACTGATGTTGTCATAGATTTTAATTTAGTCGCTTAACTCTATCGAGTAAAAAAATAAGTACCTAAGTAGGTGATGTGCACAACCGTTTGTCATCTTTGTGTAATTTTATCTGCTCGTACTTTTATGCAATGGCACTTTTGTCAATATTAACTTTTCAAATAACTAAGAATTACTCAGAAAGTTATAAAATAAAATGGTACGAATTGAATAATACGCGCAAAAGTCACGCGGTAAATTTATCATGGTGACGAGGAATGAGGCGTTTTGTTCAGACATCTGTTGATTGATACTGATACGTAATTACAGATCAACTAAGATTGTATTTAAAGATAAAAACTAACATGCCTATTTCTTTAAACGAAAAACGGACGAAGTAGGAAATCATCTGATCCACCATAATTTCCTTGTAATTTAACGAACGAAGAAGGAACCTGAATCACACCTGAATGCATGTATGTCTGTATGTGCTGAATATGTTAATGCAAATGAATAAATAAATAAATAACCTGCCTAGATTTAAGTCAAGGTACACATTTAAACATACTAATTATAATCGAGTATCTTTTGATTACTGGCTAAATGATGCATCACCTACTTATGCTGATACGGGATTATTACTCCCACCTCTCGTTCCCATCACTGCAACTGTGTAGCCAGAATCTACAGCTTGACCGCCAGTAAAAGCCCAACCAGTGAAGGTTAAGTTTGTCCCGGGAGAATATTAAACTGTCATTGGACCCGAACGAATTTAATCAGAAGAATATAGGAGTTCGAAGTTATGTTAGACTTAGGCTGATATAAAAAAAAGAAAATAAGGAAACGTGATTACTCAAATCGGTTTAATAAACTAATCAAAAGTTAATTACGTACTTAAGTTTAATTTAATTTAGCGACTAGACTCGGAGTCGGAACGACCAGTCGACGGTATGTCGCCTATTTGGAAAAATACACATTGACCTGATTTATCACTTCGTTCGTACTAAAGATAAAGCGTATGTTCTATCTACATTCGATAGTTTCCTAGAATATTATGCACTTAGACTTACACTACGTGCAAGGTACACTAAGATAAGAAGGTAACTTAATTAGTAATTTGGCACCACCCACTTGATAAGGTATCTTTACAACACGTTACTTTGTATCTTTATTTTTTCTATAGAGCTATCCTGATAAAAACGCGACCAGTAGTTGATACTCCAAACGCGAAAAAGGTGACGCATGTTTAACTTAGATTAAAAAATAATACAACTTTATCGATAAGAAACAGGTGTGTAACCTCAGGCAGGACTTAGGTTTAGGTTGTTACTACTTCTTCAGTAATTAATATTTTCGGGCTTTCAGATTTGCCTGCCCAGCTTGGTGCTATCGTATGGGGTTTTCTTGGTGCACTCGACAGAATTAGGCATCCCACTATGGCTTGGCCTGTCCACTCCTGCAATATTCGTGCTGACCTATGGCCTTACCCGTAAGTATACAATTACATGATCTTCTAAGCAGCTTACGAGAATTAGAAATAAGGCTATTTTTTAGTGTAGCTATGACTTATCAGACTGACATTAAGCTCTAACAAAGCCTTTTATTCCACTCTACCTGAGTAATTTTACTAACGTACCCACCTAAACTTGTAAACATTAGGTATAATATGTGCGACGATGTTTGAAATAATTTCAGTGACTGTCACATGAAGAAGATTCTGTTGCCCAAAGGCTCCGAAATTTACAAAAATGGTCTTGGGTTTGTTGTTTACAGAGATGTTTTACAGGTTAAAAGGACCTGGGTTCGATTTCCAGATGGGAGTTGGGTTATGGTTCTGTTTTAAAGAACAGAGAGGACCTGTTAAGCTGATGTCTATCATCAAGTTTGTTGCAGCCTATAGATGCGACGATACAAAATGTTAGTTAATATTAATGTGATAATAGTCGGCCGTTTGGTGTAGTGGTTCAGAACGTGCTACTATGCCAAGAGGTCCCGGGTTCGATTCCCGGCCGGGCAGAAATTGAAATGATGAATTTTAACTTCTGTGACGGGTCTGGGTGTTACTATGTACAATATGTATGTATTTAAAAAAAAAGTATATAAGTAGTATATCCGTTAAGCTAGCACCCATAACACAAGCATTAAGTTGCTTACTTTGGGGCTAGCTGGCGATGTGTGAAATTGTCTAAAGATTTATTAATGTTTGATTGCAGAATGCTGGTGTCGCGATGCGGCAGACACGTGGGGCGGGCCGGTCGGCTACCGCGTAATAGCCACGGTCGGTCTGATGCTCGTAGTCGCTAGCCTCATCCTGTGTGTCTTCGTCCCTTACTACTTCCAGCCTTGTGTATATGGCGTTTTAGGAGGCATGTATACTCGTAATCACCACAAATACTCTTTATTTTTTCCTCAATTTATTTTAAATATTGGCGAGGCCACTCGAATATAACTTACCTACTTGTGCATATTTGATTTTACCTGTTACAGGAGTTAAGAATACAAATATAATTAATGTTTCAGGATTCGGGTCTTCATTAATATCGGCACAAGTCGACGCAGTTATCTTTGACACATACGACACTAACTTAAGCATTATACGAGGAATATGTTTCGCCGGCCAAGCGATAGGACAGTCTCTATTCCCTCATATTTTATCAGCTCTGATAGAAACTTACGAATACTCATATTCTTATATGGTCTTAGCTGGCATAATTCTTCAAACATTGCCTGGAATTATGCTGTTAAAAGTCAGTGAAAGAACCAAAAGACCGCTATCGTTCTCTAGATACAGTGATAAGACTTACGCAATATTCAATAATGAAGGTATGAATGGTTACGTCAATGAGCTCCAGTTACACGATTTGAGCACGAAATCCTGGCAGAGTCCATCGGATGACAATTTACATAGAGACGAAAATGGTGGTGAACTTGAGTATGACAATGAAGCCAATGTAACTATCACGCCACCACCAAGCCCTGAGGAGAAAAGGCGAAACATATTTGGCGTGGAAATACTGCCAGAAATTCCGGAGGAAAGTGAAGATAGTGAGGACGAGTTCGATGATGATGTTAATGAAATTGACACTGATAAAAGTAATAAGAAACGATTTAGTTTGGCTATTAAAAGACTGAGCACTATAGGTGATAGTTTCGATGAGTACATAGTAAAGCAAATAAGAAGAGATTCGGTGCAAACTGAATACGATGGTAGTGATAATAATAAGGAATACTCAGAAATAGAAGTTACATACGACACTATATCTCCAGTGACAGATATCCAAAGAGAGAAAATATTTAATTCTTTCAGCTTCCGTTGTCAGTCTGCCTATGCAAGTATGAGAAGAAGAATGAGGATGCCTTCGTACAGAGTGTACAGGTTACGACGGAGGCTCGTGTATGTGATGTATAGTATCAACGACACTTTTATCAAGCCGCTTTCAAGGTCACTGTCATGCTGGCGGTTTTATCCCGCGTTGATGATGTGTTTCTGCAAACTAAGCTTATCGGCGGTATCGCTTGTATTGATGCCACTGATTGCGACACAAGTTAAGCCGAAAATATCTATGACAGAGACGAATTTCCTTATTTCGCTCCACGGATTTACTTGGATTTGCTTCTTATTATGCACTCCCTGGTTGGCACAGACACCAAAACGTAATTTTAAATACGTAGCTGTATTTGGACTTATAATATCGACTGGTGCAAGCTTTGGTAAATATCTAACTACTATTATTTAGGCTACATACATATGAATGTCATTAGCTAAGTTAACGTTTCTACTTGTTTTTAACGAACCAATATCAATTTAATGAAAATCTTCAGGAAATTAGTTTCTCATTATTGATTAAATTAATACCCTTTGTTTTACAGTTTTGGCAGAAGCAAACAACCATGACTATTACTCCATCGGATGTGTGGTGGCCGGGATCGGCTACGGGGCCATCACCTCGTGTTGGGAGACTTCAGTTCAAGACTTTGTCGGGGCTCGCAAGTGGCCGAAGTTCCATAGCACTTTAGAGACCCTTTCCTCGACTATTTTGACGCTGTTTGTGGTCGGACTGTGCTTCATCGTAGAGCAAGAAGGAGGCTTACAACGCAGTATGTTCGTGTTAGGGGTAATACTAGCTGCAATCACCTTTGTATGGTGCATCATAGCAGCGGTTGCCATTTATGTTACCAAAGTAAGATCTCTTATTAGAGGTAGATAAAATATGATTGAAAATTAGTCCCTCTTTGTTAAATTTTAATGTATTGTAAATAATTGAAATAGTCAAAACCCTTGAGCAATTTTATGGTTTAAAAAGATAATTAATTTACGATCAATAAATTATTTTTATATCAACGAATTAGCTACTTTAATTTTACGTTAGTGTTTTTGCAATCATTAATAAGAAAGTTGGCAAACAAAGATTCGATAAGAATGGTTTGCGGAAATAAAATTTTCCGCTGTGATAAAATATAATTAAAGTAAAGCGCACATTAGATAGTAACAATCACAAGATATCAGTTCGTTGACTCAAGAGTTGGTAGGAGTCATAAATAAGTAATTTCGCACATGCTAATTAATGCCTACATACAAATCTCTACAATCTGAGACTCCAAATAGACTAGCCGACAAGAAATGGCGAAGAACCTAGTGAAATTGAATTTTGAAGAGAGTTTAATACTAAGTACTTACTTTGCTAGTATTGATCCTTACTCTCTTTAGTAATAGTTACTGACAGAGTTTACATTATGTTAAAGAAAGCAAAACGTTCCTGAATAGATCGGTATTATACCTGGTTGTCATAAAAGAAAATTAAAGTTTAAAGTGTTCTTCGACAAAGCGACTCTGAGTCAATCCATGAACTACATTATAAGTAGGTTTCTGACTCAGGGTAGAAAATAACTGTTTGTAGAGCTTTCGTTAAGTAATGCTTTAATTATTGTTGACACGAATCTTTGTTGTAAAAAACATCCGTTTGATAAGGATTCTGCGGATGGTGGAAGGTGTACACCTACATACGAGTGTTTAATACTTCATTATCAGATGGAAAATTACTATCTTTCAAGAAGTTTTCCTCGTAATTACGTTTAGAATTTTGAAAACCAATTTGATAAGTACGAGTAGCCTTACGTTAAGCTTTAGATCCTCTTAAGTGCACACTGTGAATTGTCTCATAGTAAAAGAAATTTTGACAAAATTAAAACCGTCTCCAAAATATGTGGGCTAAATAATTGCGTTATTCACTTATTAGGGCGAAAAATTACCATGATTTTATTACCATACTCGTTCATATCCATGGAAATATTATGTACAGTTTAAAATATTAATGAAGAAGATTTCAATGCGGAAGAAAAGAAATTGATCTATTTCGGTTGGGGTTTTTAGATGTACGCTAACAACATAATATTCCTACGAACTGAATGACAGCAGAAAACAACGTAAAGGCCGAAGGAAATAGCGCATCAACAGTATTTGTGTACTGTCACCTGTAATCTGTGTGTGTTGTGATATAAATGAGTTGTAAAGCTAACAATAATATTACACGACTGTACAAATTGTGTCAGCCTCTCACGAGACCCTCACTTGAATGTAAACTACGCGAGATAACTAACTAACGAGACGACTCTGAAACGACTGGATGCTGCCATAACTGGAAAACAGATACGTGGCAATGGCGTTCAAGGCAACAGTTTTAAACGAATCAATTCGAACAATTATTTTGGTAATCACCTTTTTAAAAGTGAAGATTAAAATGAAAGTACCTAGACATTATTAAAAAAATGGTGTGGTTAATTTACAGATGGTGGTTGCGTTACCATTGGTAACGTCGAACATCGACTGCGGTGGAAAAGCGTTCCATTGTGTGAACTCAACACACTTTATGATATGCGTGGATCTTGGTGGTGGTGTCTCCAGTACCATCGACAGCTTCGTCATCCCCTGTCCACCGTCCACTGTGTGCGAAGGAAATAACCATTTTGAGTGCGAATTTCCACGGACAACGACTGTAATACCTATAACGGAAAAAAATGTGATAAGTGAATTAAGATTTAGTGAAACGACAATTACGGACACTAGTACAACTGTTATTGAAACCAGGAGTGAAGTTCTTCCAACGGAGGCAAATTTGAACACCGTGAGTACAACCACATTGCAAGAAGATAATGTTACAACAGATATACCAGTTACTGGACCTAGTATTTCAGAAAGTTCATCTGATTATACAAATATAGTGTATACTTTGACAACAGTACCAGAGGAAATAACCACTGTTGCAAATACCATTAATATATCTGCAACAACTCCCAGTGGTACTGGTTTAGCGGCAGACACATTATCACCATCAACATTTTCCACCATAAGCGATACATTTACAGAAAACTTTGTAACTACTGATACGACATTGTTAAAAGATTCTGAAACGGTGAAAATTAATGAAATTTTATCAGAACAAAGCGTAACGGAGACTTTGAATAACACTTCTGATATTTACGCAACAGAAGGTTACTTTGCTGCTACAAATGATGTAATTGTTTCAACAGTCAATGAACCATCTCTTGTATATAACACAATATCAAGAACATCTCTTAAAAATGACGTTAATGTTACAGAAAATACTGTAACTATTGAAAGATTATTGTCAAATTATTCTGAATCCGGAATAATAAATGAAGCGATAACTGATGAAATTACCACAGAAATGGCTAAAAACACAGTATTAAAAGATAGTTATACAACTGAAGGATACTTTTCTGTTACTAACAATAAGACCTCAACCAACGTACCAGCCAAAGTAGAGTCAATGACTTCAAGAAAAACGTTTAAAAATAATGAACTCACTGGTTCAGAAATCAATAATACTACTGACAAATCAATGTTAGATTATACTGAATCTGTGACAATAAACGAAACTGTGGCGGATCAAATCGTAACGGAAACAACAATAAACGACGCTGTAACCAATCTAATCGTAACGGAAACTGTGACTAAGGCGTATGACAGTTACACTACAGAAAGATATTATGTTGATGCAAATACAATTGCTACAACGATAAATGAACCATCCGTAATGGAATCTAATACTTCGGATTCAAGCAAAACTATTGAAAATAATTATGTTACTGGTTCAGAAAATATTGTAATTACTGAAAAATCATTACTGAATAATTCTAAAACTGTCACTATAAACAAAACTGTAAGTGATCAAAACATTACAGAGACTTTGAATACCGTATACGATACTTACACAACTGAAGGATATTTTATTACTGCAAATGAAGTTATCACTACAACGATCAACGAAGCATCCGCTGTTGAGTATAACATTAGTAAAACATTTGAAAACAATCCTAGTACTCTTATAGAAAATAATATAACTACTGAAAAATCATTGTTAAACTATTCTGGATCGATAATAGATGAAACTGTTACTGATCGAAGTGTTACGGAGATTTTTAATAACGGATATGATACTTACACAACAGAAGGATATAATATAATTGTTACAAATAATGCGATTGCTACTACAGTCAACGAACCATCGGAAGTTGCGCATAATAAATCTTTAGCAAACAATACCTCTGAAAACAATGATGTTAATGTAATAGAAAACAGTGTAACTACTGAAAAGTCGTTGTTAAGTTCTTCTGAACCTGTGGCAATAAAGGAAGCCGTAACTGACCAAACCGTAACGGAGATTTTGAATAACAAGTATGATACTTACACAACAGAAGGATATATTGTTACAAATAATGAAATTGCTGCTGCAGCCAACGAAATATCCGGATTTGCGTACAATAAAACCTCGGCAAACAATACCTTTGACAACAACGTTAATGTAACAAAAAACAGTATAACTACTGAAAAATCGTTGTTAAGTTCTTCAGAATCTATAGCAACAAACGATGCTGTTACTGGACCAAACATTATGGAGATTTTGAGTAGTATATATGATGCAACAACAGAAAGCTATATTGTTGTTACAAATGATGCAATTGGCGTAATAGTCAACGAACCGACGATAGAAGACCATGAAACATCCATCAAATATAATACTTTTGTCAACAATGCGGACCTATCTACTGCAAAAGGGATTATTGATACTACAGTAGGTACATCTACAACAGTAGCAAATGTAGATAATGTTAACACAGATACCATTGTTACCCAGTCTTTTGCAGAACTTATTACTCCTGAACCAAGTCAAAGGTCTACTGATAATATTTTATCCGAAATTGCAACAGAAAAACTTACAGAAGCAAGTGACTTAAAATTAAATATGTCTGGAATTCCTTATGATAGCACAAGTGTGAATGTTGCACAGGACTATTTTACGACTGAAATCACTTTAAAAGATACTTTAGCGAACAACATAAATGATATTGAAGAAAATTTACAAACGACGCCAATTATACAGACGTCTTCTATTCTTGTACTAGACACAGTGAATGATTGGAATTTAGAAACCGGTGGATTTCCACTAGATGTATTCGCGACTACTTCAACGATAAAGACAGAATCGATTTTACCAGAAGAAGTGACAATATCAGTATCTACAAATGTACCTGCAAATACTAGTCAAATAATAAACGAATATAACAATGGATTATTATCAAATAATGAATTTACAACGAATAGTTTTGTAAGTGATAATAGTTCACATGATACAGCTACACAAAAAATTGATAATTTACAAGATATTGCAACTACGGCTGGAAATATAACAAACAATAATATGATAGCGACTAATACTAGTAAAGTCGACTATACAGAAGCATCAATAATAAATTCGGTGAACCCCGGTTTAGATACTACGACAATATCAACAGAAAATAAGCCTAATGTTATCGTAGAAAGCAGTGATACACTTGTGAAAACCACTGAGGGAACTGTTAATGAATATAACTCCATGGCATCTACGTTTGATGAAATGGTGTCCACAGATGCTACAATGCCAGGAAGTGAAATTATCTCTACAACTCTCGATGAAAGGAATGCAACAGTTTCTTTAAAAGAAAGTACTGTGACTAATTCTTTTGCAGACACGGAAAAAGAATATTTTACCCCTTTAGCCACTGACATCACAAACCTTAAAAATGTTACTGAATCTATGACTGAAATTTCACTTGTGATTAACGACTTCACGGAGAGTGTTGATAAAGGTGGTGATAATTTACAAAAAGAAATTATAAATAGAACTGTGGATAATGTTAGCATAAATGAAACTAACTTTAAAAGTGAGAATATTAATGAAGCTTCTAGGGCTAATATGACTGATGATTTGCAATCACGACAAAATAATTTGTACGATAATAATAATGAAGGAATTTTGAAAAACAACAATCAGAATGTTTCTGTTCAAATATCAAGTGGATCTGCAGATGTCTATAAAACTACAAAAGATTCAATAAATCAAAGCTCTCTAATCGAATCTAAACCATTATTAGAGGTATTGGCAAAGGAATATTACGAAAATGAAAACAACACTAATAATGCGCTATTAGCGAAGAATATAGAAAATGAATCGAATGTGGATGCACAAACAATTTCATCACCACAAAATACTATACCAGTTAAAGAACAAATAAATATAAGCAATGGCTTACAAGCTAAGTCGGAAAATAATGCAGGGACACAGTCATTAGTAAATGACCAAAAGCTAAGTCAAGATGTAGAGCTACAAATTGACACCATCAATCAAACCAAAGTACATTTTGAGGAAACAAATGTTTTGCCTATATCAGATAACGGTACGTTAGATGATTCATCAACACTTCAACAAAATGTTAGTCAAAACTCACAAGCCAGTACAATCAATGTAATCAATAACATCATACCTGATGCAATAGTTATAACATCAACATCGGATGAAGCCTTATTACATTACTCTTCGGCACCNTCGGCACTTGATCAAAAGCTAGAACAACATGCTCCAGCTAGTGCAATTAATGTCATAAACAATATAGAGTCACCTGTTGAAACAGTTGTTGCATCGGCCACAGATGATACTCCATTACATCAGTCTACAGCGCTTTATGAAACATTAGATCAACATGGCAGTACCATTAATGTCATAAATAATATAAAGTCTTCGGATATAACTGCAACATCAAGCTCCGATGATAGTTTGTTATACCCGTCTTCGGCCAGTGATCAAAAGCTAGATCAGTATGCTCCAGCCAGTATAATAAATGTGATCAATAATATTGAGTCTTCTGATGTCATTGTAACAACAAAATCTGAGGATAATTCATTACATCAGACTTCAGGACTTGATCAAACACTACACCAACGTCCGTCAGCTAGTACTATCAACGTGATCAATAATATAAAATCATCTGATGTAATCGTAACGTCATCATCCGTTGATACTTCAATGCAACAGCCTTTAGTACATGATCAAACTCTAGATCAACATGCATCAACTAGTAATATTAATGTGATAAATAATATAAAGTCCTCTGATGTGTCAGTTACAACGATAACGTCAGATGGAACTCCTTTACATTATTCTCCAGATTTGGATCAAATAGAAGCACCAACAAGTTCAAATAATGTAATAAACAGCACAATGCCTTCGGAGGTAACAGTTGAAACTTCAACATCAGATGACAGCTCATTACATAATTCTTTGGCACTTGACCAAACGCTAGATCCACAAGCAATAATTTCGACAAAGTCTACTGACGGCACAAAAGCAACCTCGGATGGTAGTGGTTCAGGCCAGTCATTAGTAGTTGATCAAAACATGGTTCAAAATGCGGAACTGTCTTCCGCAACACACACAGTTAATACTACTGATGTCACTTCTAACAAAACGACTATTTTGGCAGTAAATGAAGATAGCAGAAATTCAAATAAAGTAATAGTGTCGTCTGGAAATATAATCAGTATAGTATCAAACTATGGCTCTACTAACCAACCACCGATTGATCAGAAGCTAAATCAAGCAGCAGAAATAAGTTTGACAGAAACAATTGACAAGACTAGCGTGACTTTAGGTGACACAAAAGAATCTCTTACAACAACTGATAATTTAAAACAATCGTCGTTTTCTGAGGATAAAGGTGTGATGTCGCCAAATATTGGTACAAATGTTGGTAACTCTGAAGGTACCACTAACGAGAATAATGAAAGAGAAAATAAAACTTTGCCGTTAGATTCATCATCACCTGTATCGATCGCGGAAGCCAATGTACATAATCATTCAGAAGGAGCCTTGGGGAAACCAAAAATATTACCAAATATTTCCAATAATGTAGGTGTTGCTACAACAGTCGATGTCACAACTATTTCACCGAGAAGCACTGTACATTCTTCGACCCAGAGTTTGAACGTCGATTCGAACAGTGGCGACAGTGTCAAAAAACCAGTAGATACATTTTGTTTCACCCGAAATCGTGGAAGATACGCTGATCGAGATGACTGTACGAAATTCTACATTTGTATCGGAAAAACTGAGCCTATTGTAGGAAAATGTCCAGCAAACACAGTTTTCAGTGAAATTAAGAAACAATGTACCAAAAACAGATCGCACTGCATCAGGGGAAATGAATTCCAATGTATATCTGAAGGTAGATTCAGTGATGTATTCAGAAATAATGCTTATTACATATGTATAAGAAGACATAACAATTTCTATAGATTTAAATTTCAATGTCAAAATGGATATTACTTGAACAAAACAACAGTGAAATGCACTCAACAATTACAAACAACGACACAATCTTCTACTTCTGTGGACAATAGTAACAGCGAGAAAAGTGCGAGTGAAGGTGTAAATAGTAAAGAAAATAAAAGTAAAAAGGACAAAGATATTCAAAAAGAAAGTAAATCTGGTGAAGAGTTTGAATGTAAAAAGGAAGGCAAGTTCCCTGATCCCGATAACTGTCGAAAGTATTACGTGTGTACGAAAACGAAGAAGTCCGAGTACCGTATGAAGAGAAAGACTTGCGATTCCGATGAAGTTTTCCACAAGAATAAAAAGAAATGCGTGGACGCAGATAGTTATGAATGTTAGGAGGCGCTAGATGAAAACAAATTCCATACTTTAATCTTTTCCATTAGTTTCGTAACTATGTTTTTAATTATAAAATGTAAATAATTTGTTTACTTAATTGTTTATTTCTTAAGATGTTAAAATTGTTAATATAATTTACTTTGTCTGTATTAAAAATAAAATAAAAACAATTTTGGTTTTTATGAATTGTCTCCTACTGCTAATTATTTAAAAAGTTAATCTTACGGGTAGTCACAGTCTTATAACTCGTCTACATTCCAATTCTTGGTCTTCTATAGGCGGCACCAAAGTTATTTATGAACTGGTCTTCATCATCCCTTTCCAAAGTAAGGCAGAACTTGCTGGAAAAGACTGTGCATCGCACAGAAGTCTCCCCTTGAATGGGTCTCGATGGACAGAAGTAGGCTGTCCGCACTGGGCTGTTATCATCAGTGACACTGAACTTATAGTTCTTGCATTCAGGTCTGCCGTGGACTGGCTTTAAGTTAGAAGAAACGCCATTGTCTATTCTACGGTTTTGACTCTCAAAGATCTCTGGTTTGGGCGATGTTGCTTCAACAGGGCACTTGTATTTGTCGGGCGATGAGCAGGTGCGAGTGAAGCCGTTGAATATGGTGTTGCCAGCGCATTTGAACTTGATACCTTGGAAGCGGGTTTTGTTGGGTATGCAGAGGATGTAGCCTTTGCAATCAGGCACGTTAGGGTCGGCGATTCTTTCGTTTTTATGGCAGCGTAGAGCCCTGGTTAACGCAGGGTCCATGTAGTTTATGGTGCTGTCGCATACGTCACTCGAGTCTTCGTTGCAGACGGTGTTGGCAGGACATTTGAAAGTAGGACCCATGAGGTTATTGCCTTCGCAAAGCCGTAGCTTGGTAGTTCCTTCGCAAACAAAGCCGTAGGGACCGCAGTCGAAACTTTTTGTGTTGAAGTAGGTTGCTCCCGCATGGTATGTTGTTGCCTAAAGACAATAAAATAAGAAAATGAAGATAAAGAAATAGTAGTTGCAGAATTTGGACGTAATTCATCGAATATGGAAAATAGACCATTTGATAATTTTAAAACTTTATGTAAAAATATAGTTATTCTTCAAGTTGGAAAATTATAATAATAAATTGTCGAGAAACTCCCGGATAAATGCACTTATCTTAATACAAAATTATATTTGGATGCAACAAAATAAATAACTTTTAACTTACCACTATCGTAAACAATAAAACACGTTTCCGGAAGGACATTTTCACAGTTCACAGTCAAGGTTCCTCTCAAGACGTCTGCACCGCGACTAACGGATGTTCACTTGCTTTCTTCAAAATCACTTCACGGACAATTATCGCATTTAGCACCTCTCATAAACACTTGGCAGCCAAAATATTCGTCTATTTTCGTTCTTATGCTAACACAATAGAGTCGTAAACTTGATGACCTGTGTATGTGCTTGACTGTACAGGTATGAAGAAATGGATCTGTGTCACCGGCCCAATGACCAATGTGTCACTAGTTCTTTGAAAATTGGGATACTTTTACACATTTGTCTTCAACACATTGTTTGTATGGCCGAAACAGTTACGGCGGAAACGCAAGCTCAATAGCACAAGTGGGTTAGGCAAAATGTATTCATATTGCTATTTTAGAAAAGTGCACAATAACTTTCACCTTTTCTTGAACATTTTAGAAACTAAAAACAATCGATCAAGTATATTCTGAAATGACATCATCAGCAAGCACGTAGATAATGCTTGAACGTAAGCCCAAAAATGAGCACCACTGTGGCACCACCGTTCTCTATCCTTGGAAGTCTCCCGATTTTTCGACCAAGCCGAATTATCATGAGGTAGTCGGTCTATTGAGATAGTTATGCCCTACACTACGTTTGGTAAGAAGTTATCTAATCGTAAATGTAGTAAACTATGGCGAATGCCCGTTAATGCTATTTTTCATCAATTCTGCGACAGATATGGCCACTTTAAGCTTGCTAAATTTTTAGCTACTCTACTTATATTATTCTAAATAGGTTTATAGTTTACCACCACCACGACTCTAAATAAAAAGCTGTATAAATAAAACTTGTTTCATAACATCTAAAAATTATTTTATTGTGTATTTCCTAAGAATAAAACTAATAAATACATCACTCATCATCCGAAGAGGACTCGCCGTCGCTATCCGAGCTCGTCGTGCTGTCGGCTTCTCTCGCGGGAGCTCCCGTTTTGGCCCTGAAATAGGGTAAGTATATTTTTTTAACAACTTTCGTGAATATTTATCTTCATTTTATTCTGTAAATTATGTTTTACTTATTTTCTTTTTTTGTTAAATCTTTGTCTACATGGATGTTGTTCTTACACTTAGCTCATAGCCTTGTCTAAGTGCTGTAAGGTTCGAGGCGGTGGGAGCCTGATGTCCTGTAACACAGGTATTCGATACCTAGCATAGGCATCAGACTCACACTGATATTAAACATCATAATCATAATTATCTCATGTATGTTTTCAATGTCTGTGTGAGTAAATAAAGATTTTAAATAAAGATTTTGAAAAAAAAAAAAAATTATAAGCGTGATGAGAGGACTGGTCATGTTTGATTTAGAGAAAAAGTGTAAATAACAAATGTCTTTATAATATTTTTTTTTTTACTAAAAACCCATCATCAAATTCGGAACATCATTCATGATACAAAATTAGTCAAATCCATTGACCTACGATATAATTTTGAAAGAACATAAAAATAACATCTTGAAGAACTGAATAGAATGAATGGATTGCCTTGCACTACACCTCAAAAGAGTCTATTATAATGATCTTAAGAATTTGTATTTACACTTTTGTATGAATAACAAAAAATATTTGAGTACTGAATACTCGGTGCCAGTATAGCCAGCTCCCCAAGTAGGCATAGAAAACAAAACAGGCGGGTTTAATGTACAAGGATTTGTAATTGTAAAAAAAACTCATACACGATGCTCGACTCGTGAGACAAGCTAAATTACACCATATTGTTGACGACATTGAGTAGACATACAGGGTGAAAACGATAAGTGATCTCACTCGATTATTTCTAAACTACACAAGATATCCAAAAACTGATTACTGATCCTAAAAGTGCTTCACGAGTTCTATCCAACGGTACCATTAATAGGTTACAAAATAAACTGCATCTATCCGAAAATTCAATGTTTCCAGCTTTCATACATTTAGTACTGCCACAGTCATGGCACGCATGTCTTGATAATATTATAGCAAGTAAAGCCTAAAACCAATGTTTTCCATGAATAATTTTAAATTACAATGCAATTTACGAGTTAATTTTAAGTGTTTATTATTTAAAATAAAAAAAAATACACTTCTAATATTGTGTGGCTGGCATAGTGGCATACATTTAGTATGGAGGCTGAAAACATTGAATTTTCGGATAGATCCAGTTAATTATGTAACCTATTACTGATATCGTTTAAAAGAGCTCGTGAAGCACTTTCAGGATCAGTAATCAATTTTTCGATAACTTGTATAGTTTAGAATTAATCGCGTGAGATCACTTATCGTTTCCACCCTGTATATTCTTTTAAATACCTTTCTGTACCTAGTACGTAATATTATACTGTGCCAGTACTTACATGTAGTAAGCGTCGACGAGCCCCAACGCCGTCGGGTGGATGGAGCTGGTAAGATCCGCGCGTGGCTTCTCCAGTAGAGTCTCGACTTCTTCCTGGGATCTGTTCAGGACTGCACCTAAAGCTTGATGCTGTCTTACTGTGCCAGTATAGCCAGACTTACATGTAGTAAGCGTCGACGAGCCCCAACGCCGTCGGGTGGATGGAACTAGTGAGGTCCGCGCGTTGCTTCTCCAGTAAAGTTTCGACTTCTTGCTGGGATCTGTTCAGAACTGCACCTAAAGATTGATGCTGTCTTACTGTGCCAGTATAGCCAGTACTTACATAATAATATGTAGTAAGCGTNTCCTGGGACCTGTTCAGCACTACGCCTAGAGCTTGAATGATGGCCGGCACTGCTTCTTCGAAACCACACTCGGCTAGGTATTCCACGGCCGACTGTATAAATTGATAAAAAAGATAATATAAATAAAAGTAGTTTTGGAAAAACGGTCAGTCAGTTGACTTAAAAATAATGACGTCAAAAGTAGATGAAAATATCGTTATATCGATTTCCGTGGCTTACGATGAAATAAGTGGATAGGAACTAATAATATACATACATACGATAGCATATCATAATACATTTTTTGTTGCAAAATCGACCCTATTACAGGTAGGGAGACCGGGGCTTATTTCGCCCTTCCCTTATTAAAATCGTATTATTACGTATAATGCCTAACAGTTGGCCACATGCGACATAATACGATCACATATCTAACTCTTTCTGTTGTCGAGATATTTGATCGGAACAATTTACCCCAGCACTTTCAGCCCCGGTCTCCCCTACATAAGATACAATAATGTTTAACGTAACGTGTCATCGTCTGCATAATTAAATCAAAGACATCAAGCTACTTACCGCAGCAATTCCCAGTTTCCCAACACTAGCGGCCTTCTGGGCTACATCAGCTAACACCTGCGGCCTGCTAGGCACTCCAGTGGCCTCAGAATGCTTGAGCTTCTGTAGGGCCTCAGAGACTGTCTCCCATTTTGTATCTGAGCCGTCTTTGACATCGGAACATAACTCGATTATATTCGAAACGGCATTTGCTGACAATCTGGCGGACGAAAATTTATGTGTTAAAAGTAAGTAAAGTTTGTAAATGTATTTGTGTAAATTAGTAAGTCAAGTGTATAACAGTATAATAATCTAACGTTTGACAATTTTTGTTTTAATATTTCATCTTAAAAACATGAATCAATCAATCAATTTGATACTTACTTTTGCATTGGTGTTCTGCGATCATTTTGATTCATTTCTGTCTCACTTAAGTTGCCGAATTTCAGTATATCCGCAGCTGCATTTCGCATTTTGTCTTTTACTTCTTCAGCTGAAACAAGTACAAAATGTTATATGCCTTACCACTATTTTTGGTTAGTTAGAGATGACGCCAACTTTTGCTGTGAAATTCCTTATAGGGCGTTAATAGAGGACAGCTGCCCCTGAAATGTTGGGTCTTTACTTTATGTGGAGATAACCAACCATTTTCGGTCGTCCTTAAGTGTCTAAGCGTGGGGAACCCTGTTTAAAATCTGTTTGGCCTCCTCAGTAAATAGCAAGATTGCCACCTTGGGTCAGACTACCCCACCATTCTACCCCCACTGACTCTGGATTTGTAATGTCTTCGAAACATAACTCACATTGGTAATGGTAGGTGCTGGCCATAGCACTCGGCAGCCGCTCGACGAGGCGCACGCGCTTGGCGATGCCGAACACCACGAGCTGAGACCACGCCTGCGCCAGGCGCTCGCCACTTCCAGCGTTTTACAGTATAGTGTTTTAACATTATCGTATTGAGGAGGGAATGGGAGGGCAGCTGCCCTGCTTGGAAATGATATGTTCCTAGCTGGGCAGGCTGCTCCTCTTAGTTCAGACTACCCTTACGAGCTCAGTAGCTGGCCAGATTGTCCCCCCTCTGGCTTAGAAGCAAGCAGGCTACATTCTCCCCCCCCTCCTCACTCAGCTGACAGTACCTGGGTGCGTGTATATTGTTATTTCCGCAACATACTTACTTTGATACTGGTAGGTGCTGGCCATAGCGCTGAGCAGCCGCTCGACGAGGCGCACTCGTTTGGCGATGCCGAACACCACGAGCTGCGACCACGCCTGCGCCAGGCGCTCGCCCGAACCCGCCACTTCCAGCGTTTTTATTATCTGGTTTAGTTAAAAAAGATATTATTTGAAATAGATTTTGGGGAAATTAAAGGTAAGATCATCAGATTATCATTATCATCGACATTTCAATGTGACTATTAGAAAATAAAAAATATTCAATGCTTCGGAGGGTTAAATTAAAGTCGGCCAAATTGAGCCATATCAAGCGCCAGATTTTCGCGTTTGCTAATAACCAGATTCTTGCGAATAAAGCCTAGCCGCAGACTATAGACTTTTTTGTCGGCCGATAGTTAGGGTCGGGCTGTTAATCAGTATGAAAGTTCGCACACTACACTGATTCTTCATACAAATTAGAATCGGCACAAACTATCGGCCAACTAAAGTCGGTGGACTGCACCTAGGCTAACTAATCATTCAGAATAAGAAGTGAAAAATTAGCCATACCTCTTCCATGACTGACGGTTCTGGTACATAAACATTAGGTACCAAGGTGTCCAATAGATGCGTTGTTCTTTCGAAGGGCGCATGTCTGAAAAAAAAATTACATTATATTTTTTTACAAAATGAATATTTAAGTTTCGCAATCTTGTTATAATAAAGATCACAAACCTGCACGCAACTGTGACCAAATGTCTGTAGTAAATGCTCTCTTTGTAGGCGTCTCCAACCAGTTTGTAGTTGTCACCTTTCATAAGAAGGGCGTGGACCCTTTCTGCCAAGTTTATATCCTATAAAGATTAAGTTACATGATAGTATTAACAACTTTAAATAAAAATAGAATTAGGTAATCGTCATAACCAATCAAAAGATACTTGGGATAGCTACCTGCAAGTGATCGCTGCAAACACCCATAGCCGTTATGAAAAAGTTCGTGTCTGTAGGATGTTGAGCATCTAACTTTTCACGACTTTCCAAATCAACTAGTATACCCGATAGTATGTCGATGCGAGGTCCCCCTAAAAAGATAATGGCTAATTATAAATCTGTTTAAAATTATGTAGTCCAGTAGCAATAACACTATTTATTATGAATTTATAGATAGACTTTGTTCGTTTCGTTTCTGCCAAATGACATCCACTGCTGGACAAAGGCCTCCCCCAAGGATTTCCACAATGACCGTTACTGCGTCGCCCGCATCCAGGCACCTCCCGCGACCTTCAACAGATCGTCAGTCTATCTAGTGGGGGGCTTGCCCACACTTCGTCTTCCGGTCCGTGGTCGAGACTCGAGAACTTTTCTGCCCCATCGACCATCAGATTTGCAATCTAGATAGACTTATAGATAGTAAAACTTATAATTTAAATATTATTTAACTTACTTTCTTTGCAAAATAGACATAGTAAATGGTAATAGGCGGCGAGTCCTGGTTGAATGCCCAGTCTTTTGAACTCGGCCACGATTTGCAGTCCCAGTTCCTGTAACGTCTTGCCTCCACCCCAAGCAGAGACTGATCGGAGACACGACGTTAATGTATCTTGATTTGGTGACAGGCCCTTGAAAAGAAGGGAGAATATTTAAACATGTGTACCATAAAATCTTTTCCAACTAATTCGTCGCCGCCGCAAAGGGGCGAACCCTTGGCGAACCTTTTTTTTATAAAATTAAAATTACACAGGACAGCGAAAAACGACATAGTGCTTGAAGAATGGAGAATTTCTTTAAACTTAACTAAATATTTGACCATTTATATGATGTTCGCCCTTTTGCGGTGTTGGCGTTATTCTAAGTGTTGAAAATAAGTTGAAAATACTGTTACCAAGGAACAAGTTTAAAGTATGACGAAACATCTAATTTATGCCACATCTTTCAATTTAGTCCCGTAAAGTTAAATTATTTCAAGAACAACTTGTCTTTAATATTAATTACCAGTTCTGCCATCTGAGTTAGCAAACTCTTTAGTGCTTCTGCACGCAAAGCTGTGCCTTCTTTTAGGAAACCAACAGAACTCAATAGAGTATTGAAGACACTTGTAGACAGAGGGATTCCTTTTTCTATAGCTTCTTGAGACAATATATGAGCTCTCTCTGCCTGAAAATGGAAAATTAACTATGTATTTCAACTATCAAAGTGTTTGAAGCTTGTAGACAATACCAAAATGGGGATTCTTGGATGGCTTAAACATGGAGTGCAGGTAGGGTTGCCAACTCTTGAAAGGACCAACCCGGGAGAATTGTGGGGGGGGGGGCTTGCTCCATAGTTGCTCCATCACGCTGAATACGCGCTCGAATGAAGCATTAATAGAGACAGGAGACAGGAATGGAAAGAACAAACGTGACCATTTTTTTAAATTCAGGACAGGGATTTCTGTCTTTCGATTTCGTAAAGAAGTCAATTTTCTTCAATAAGATGTGGTTGCACCTCACGCAAAAGTCCAACCTCATCGTACAATTTGTCACTATCTATATCAATATTTAATAATTCCTGGAGTTTAGTAATGCTGGTCCATGTGATTGGTTCTTTTAAAGATAAAATTTATAAACAAGTACGAGCAGCAATGGATGCATTAAATTTTTAGAAATACCGGAGAAAATATTGCTCTCCGGGAGGTCGGGAGGTTAACCATTATTTCCGGAGTCTCCCGGGCAATCCGGGAGGGTTGGGAACCCTAAGTGCAGGTGCGGTTTTGTTCCCCAGTAGATGAAGCACCTGATGTCGTGCCCTGAGTGCCCAAGCAACTGCACTCAGGAGGATTTGATGAGTGCTACTGACAACGCCACTCTTGTGGCGGAGTTTTGGGCTGACACTGTAGGTTTGTTGTCGACACGAAAAGAAGAAGCAATACCAAATATCATTTTCGTCCTCTTATGTATGACAAATAGTAAAAGTTAAGGTAGGTATTAATAGTAATCATCATCATCATCATCATTTCAGCCAGAGAATGTCCACTGCTGTACATAGGCCTCCACAATGACTTCCACATCGCACGGTTGGTAATAGTAATATGTTAAAGTTATTTAAAGAATACAATGTTCACTAACTGAGTAATAACTAATGAAATAACAAATAATAATACCTGATAATGTTTTGCCATTCCTTGTATGATAGCACAGTATGCTTCAGGAGTTTTTGGTTCTATTGAAGCAAAGATTTTATCAGCTAATCCACCCAATCTAGAATACAATAATAAACAGTGTTTCAAACCTAATAAAATTAAAAAGAAAATTGTGCAAAATGTAGTTTCTAAAGTTCTAAATATGTATAAAATTTATTTATCATTTTCACTAGTTCCAATAAGAACAATGATAACAGATTTTTTCTATTTATATTTAAAATTTTATTCCTAGTTCACATTAAAACTTACTTCCAAGTCATAAGTTGTCTTTCCCTGACATTTGCTGAAAACCACCTCTCTTCAAGCCACTCCATGGAATCTGGTTCTTTCTCATTATAAAAGCATAGGAATTGTAAAAAATCCATTTTTGTCTCTTCGCTGATACTCTCAATGCCACCAAGGAGTTGGAATATTTTAATTGAGTCTTCTAAGAGGGCATTACTTATTGTATATTTTAAGTCTTCTTCTGTAACCTAGAAAAATACATTTTTGCGTAACATTACTTTCATAATTAATACTGCTTATTGTGCAAATATTTTTAAAAAGTAGTAGTTTTTTTTTATAAGTGCTAGACAAGGCAGGTATTTGACCGCAATCGCACCTGGTGTTAAGTGAGATGCAGTCTAGGATGGTACATTTCTGCCCTGTAAGTGCCTATTCATTCTCGCATTGAAAACGCCCGGATTATAGTGTTCAGGAAATACAGCAGCAGGCAGCGAATTCCAGTCCCTAGCTGTTCGCATTATAAGTAGTAAATTAATACAAGTAGTTAAATTACCTTGCTCTCATCATTATAAATAGGTCTGGGCGCGAAAGCGTCAATAATCGGGTCAGCGTTGTAGTAAGGAGTTTTCAGCTTGGTTGGTGGGTCCCACTCACGGGTGTTGAACAAAGTGGCGTGCTCATCTCTGACCCACGCTGCGGCTTTGCGACCAGCCTCCGCCGACAACGCATATGCTCGCTTACGGTAGTTTGACAGTGGAATCAAGTATGGATCATCGTGATATCTATAAATAAAAAATATACATAACTCTGTGGAGTAACTGATGATGTAGCTTTTTAAAGAATTGTTATTATACTTACTTGTAATGAGCAGCTGTAGGATCCGGCCCCACAGTCGCAGCCAATGCTTGTAAGATATCAGTAGGGCTTCTTGGAATTCGCGGCGGTGGAGAAATCCCATCACTTGACTTACCACTTTGAGGGAGCTTCTGACTTTCGATAGTAGATAGCCGGCAGAAACAGGCCAATCTAGACCACTGCCTGAAAGTATTTCATTCACAACATCAACATTAAAAAAAGATACATGGTACATAACCTATAAAAATTGTGCCCAAATTACCTTGGTAAAATAATGTTAGAATACATTTTCTGTATTAAAAATACAGTAATATAGATTTTTGAATAGATTTTATGAATTAAATCAAATGTTAAACAGGTTTAATGTGTACAAAATTACACAAAATACATTGAGGATACTGTCACTGTCATTGTGACATTTTCGAGTTGTCATTTTTTGTCGTCTAGCTGCTGTGCAACCCAGATATCTGAAACTATACAGCCTACAATAAGTTAGTCGAAACTATTGATTAACATGAGCGGGAAGCGAAATTACCAGAATAAGAATGGTATTATTTTGTTTTCAATTTTCTAAATTATTAGTTTAACACTGACTAGCATTAATAAAAAAAATGGGGACTGGTTTGGCTGTATAGTGGAAATATCCATGATCGTAAATAAAAAAAAAGTTATTTTGGCGCCAATGCAAATTTTTTTTTCTGTGAATCCGGTAATGATAGATTTTATTAGGTATTATATTATACTATCAGTACTAAATTCTCTTCTTTTCTATATCAAATCTGTGTGTTTCTATGTCTATTTTTTATCTCTAAAGCGTCTAAATATTATGGTCTAAGTTTAAGGTATTAATAAATAAATAATAAATAATGTGATAATATTTCATAGGAACGACGAGGGAAGTCAATGACCGTTAATGCAAATAAAATTCTAACACACAGAATGCAAAAATTTAAGATGAACATTTTTTCAGGACCTACTCGGAGCTTTCTACCTTCGTAGAGGATGTGGGAATTTCTAAAAAAACAAAGAATGGACAACAAGTACCTACTTAAGTATAACAATTTAATTTTAATAACGTAAGTATTAACATTTATAATTAAGTATAATAATATTATCTAGGTCAATATTGTTTATTTCTTAATCGAAGGCAATTCATTTTAAATTACTATAAGTAAACAAATTACTTTTATAACATTAAGTCTTAAATTACACAAAACAAAAATAAACAAATTAAAACAGCACTATACGTAACAGAATTAAACCTAAAGCTTGAATTATCAACCGACTCCGCAACTTTAAATTCAATATTTTCCGAGCTGTGTTCTTCAGGATGGCACCTGAATAGCGTTTCATTGCGCATAACGCACGAGCGGTTTACTGCATCGAAAATTTCACCTTCCAGGCACTCTATAGACCTGGCTGTGATGAAATCGTTGACACCTTCAACGCATGCAATGTATGAAAAGCAGTCGTCACTGTAAGGGTTGGGGAAATTCCCTATGTCAGTGCAGTTGTACTCGGGCGCGCACTGGTAACTGGTGACGTTGGTGCACTGGCTGTGTACGTGGTTGTAGATGAAGCCAGGAGGACAGGTGAGGTTCATCTGGGCAAAGTGCCCAGGGCCTGCAATAAGGCACATGGTGAACCCTTCGCAACTCCCCACATGGTCGTTAGGATACTTCCCAGGAGCCGTGCACTGCCTCGCTATACTGGCACCCTGGTAGAAACCCTGAAATGATTTAGGAATATTAAGTACCAGTCATGTTTGTAAATATGAAGGTGTACACAGAAGATGGGTGTGCACAGTACATGGTCAATATTACCTTGTTGTGCTTTATCTTTATCAATAGTAATAGTAAATACACTATGAGTAAGTAGGTATTAATATTTGATCGTGATAATGTCATGGACTGATTTTATTAATGGGTTGTATAAACAACAGATGTGTTTATGAGGAGGTGTAGAATAGAATATAATTTTATTTATTGCTTTTGTAAGATGAATGAAACTGAAACACTTTTTGATAATTCACACTAATTAGGGGAGGCCTAATAGTTCAGTAGTGGACGGCTTGCAATGATGATTATGATGAAGTAAATTAAAGTAAAGCTAAATGATTGGATATTTCTTTGACACCGCTTTGAATAAGTTTAACTTAGCTACGAAATTAAGAGTTAGTACTGTAGTATTTACACCTATATTACTATTATAAGGAAGCTATAAACTTATTGAGTATTGAGTCTAAAAAAATGCACGACAATTTCTAAAACCATATACTTAAACTGAATTTTCGAGTTAATCATTTAAATAATGAAATGGAAAATAGCAGACAGTCGCGTAATTGTCCTAAAAATACGTGTATTTGATAAAAACTACTTAAAATCGTTAATTATAATGTAAATACTCACAATACTCACAATAATAATTAACGTCCACACATGGTTCATCTTGAAAAACGAATCACCACAGCGCACGATAACGTATTTACTCAAACTAAACAGTAGTCGTGTAATAAGAATTTGAAGATAGTAGCGTGTTTGCGACCTGATATATTTTGTACCGAATTTAAACCACTTAATTATATTTTAATGCCCTCCATATCTTTCGGAAACTGAGATTGTAGGTGGAAACTAGATGAAGATCATTGCTGTTGCTATCAGTTAGTGATGCAAGTGGTAGAGTTAGGTGAACTTTATCGACTTTTTGTAACCTACAATACCTACTTTCTGAAAATGAATTTAGTTTGTTCAAGTACTTTTTCCATAAAAAGCCTGATGTTCCTTCTAATTTACTTACTCTCAAACCAAAAGTTAACGAATACAATCTATAAGATTTATTTCATCTCTTAATTACAATTATTTTAAGGCAGACCATCAGACATCTCAAGGCTATGCTATGGCTAGTGATTAAAGTTAATATTTCAATCAAAATCATTAAAATGTGGGCATATTATGAGGATATGTAACTATTAAAATGTTATTTTGTTTGGTTACGTAGATAATGCATGCTTGATTACTTTGAAGCTGTTGTACCTGTACTAGTACGGAAAAAAAATCAACAATGTACTTACACAATTTAGTTGGTGCAGATATAATTCGCTGGAGCAGTACACAGACGAGTGTTGGGATTGAACACAGACGTGGTGGGACAGGTATAGGTGTAGCCATAGAGTGTGGTGTTAGTAGTGCTGGACACGCAGAGCGTGTAGTTCTTGCACGTCGTGTCTGACGTCACAGCAAACCGGCCAATGGCTGTGCAGGTCACTGTCTGTGCGTGCACATACACGATCATTGCAGAGCAGAGGACCTGAAAAAGTTACCCTCTCGTTAAGGTTACAAATATGTGAATAGACCTTTGAGATGAATGTTACAAGTCACATCGAAACTTGAATGAACTTAAATTGATATTACCACTTGTTAAACATGACTAAGTATATAGGTTTGGTCTCTTTAATGATAATGATAAGAATGATACTTACAGCAAAAATGATGAAGTTTATCTTGCAGCTCATTTTTGTAAAACGACTAAACTAGTTCATTAAGTTCAAGCAATCTGATGAATAACGTTTTCAAATCCACCATTTTATATTCTGAGCGAAGTTATGGTCATCTCATAAAAGAGCCGAAGACGTAATTTATGAGTTGAATCCTAAATAAATAAAATCCAAAAGTCCTTGTGCATATGACTTGTATGTGATAAAAAGCCTATAGATAAGCTTGCACTTTAACAGCATTACTATGTTGACCATCCATTACAGTCGTTAAGTATATTGCCCCAATAAACTCTTTGAAAACTATCGACTTTCTGACGGCACTATGTTGGTTCTTGATAAGAGATAACGTTGTTTGAATACGACTCTAGCTTTACCTAGATTCCTTGGAGGTGTTGTTTGTATGATTGTCAGCTGCACCGTCATTTGTAAAAGTATGTAATGATGTGTCACAAAGTTATTTCCTTGATTCATAAAGCTTACTCGTGAGATCATTCCTACATACACAAATTTCTGAGTAGGCCTATTTATTTTCCCAATACCTACGGCTAAAGAAAATTTATCAGCCTTTTTAAGTCTAGGTTACTACTAAGTCATGTTTTACAACAGATCACTTAATAAGTGGATAGTTACTAGTTTTACATCGATTTATCTATGCAAGTATAATATGAAATCTAACAGAACAATAGTAGGCAATGGTAAAACATCAAAGGGAAATCGAAGTAAACAAACAATAACAAAACAAAGGGTCGTTTTAATTAGCAAATAAACGGTAATTACTAATTATATAATCCGTTGTTTGTGGATAGCCTTATCCGACTAATAAACCCCATAATCTTACATCGGGGATGATCTATGTTGACTTTGCGGCTAGTATAAAAGTAAGAATCTTTGATCGGATAATTTAGTTCAAGATCATGGCGAATCATATTAACATTGCTGTTTTTCTCGTGAGTGAATCTTTTTTAAATTTTAAATTATGCGGATCGATGCAGCAGTCTTTAGCTTGATATGTTGTCCACCCGGCTTCTACATACTTATGAGTTTTTCTTGCAAAACTAATATATGAATCAGTTCAAATTATTTTATTCTAGGTCCTGTGTGTAGCATGGCAAGCCTATGGTGCAACAGTCAACTGCACCGCGACCGGCGCTGGGCGTTTCGCCAACTCTGATGATACTACGTGCCAGAACTACACCTTATGCGTGTACGACAGTTCCACCGGCACTTACCTCAGCTACGACTACGTTTGCCCCTCTACCTCTGTCTTCAATCCCAACACTGGGCTCTGCACCGCCTCAAGCAACTACGCCTGCACCGTCACCACTACAACTGTAGCGACAACCACCGTCTCCACTGAAACGTGTACAGCCGAAGGCTTTTTCGTAGACTCGAGCTCTTCCGACTGCTCTACATACATCCAATGCGTCCTAATTGACGGGACCTACGATGAAACCACTCTGACATGCCCAAATAATACTTACTACAATCCAAACACTACTTTATGTGATTCTGATTACGAATGTACCACTACTACAACAACGGTTACTACGGAGGCAACCACTACGGTATCGACGTCATTTTCGTGTACTGCAGCTGGGCGATATGCGAACCCTGCAGATTCAACCTGCAAAACGTATTATTACTGCGTGGCTACCACCACTACAGGAAACTTCACGGAGTACCTCTACACCTGTCCATCTACTTCTTTGTTCAACCCTACGTCCAAGCTATGTTCGGGTAGCTACACTTGCTCATAATTTCCATCGACACAGTTGTTTTTAAGAATGAAATTATTGTAATCTGTTCTGTATTTGTTGACAGTTATTAACATTAGAGCTTAGGAGTTAATAAAACAGTTTATTTTTTGTTAAAAATGTAATAAAAATTGAACGGACAAATCATAACAGGACATGCTTAGAACGATTTCTCTTCATTAAACGCCTTTTTTTTCTTACTCCTGAGAACTTAGAACTGACTCCCTGTGTGTTCTGACCTTCCATTATCAAAACCGAAGCAAGTTTCCTAGCTATAACAAGGTTGTGATTGAGGTTTAGAGCAGAATCCTTAGGTTCTAATGATGATTCACTAAGGCTCAAATAGGGATGGCTCTTGTGTGGTAACAAGCTAAGGTTTGATTTCTTCATAGTAGCGTAGAAATGGCGAAAATAGTTTTCTCTAGCCTTGTTTATAACTGACGCAGGGACTTTCTTCTTGGCTTTATCCTTGTTGTCACCAACTGTGACCGTGCTTGAGGTACTATCGAAAAATGACGCAATAGTAGGGTATGGTGACCTTTTATCATCATTCAGGGATAATTCTTTGGTTGCCGTCGTTTTGTCGCCAATGGATTTGGTTAAATCCTCGTAGTCGAATTCGGGAAAACTGGTCACTAAGTACGTAGACTCATTAACCCGACGAACTTGGTAAGTTTTCACACTGGTTGAGAATGTAAAAAAGCTAATTAAAATACATTTTATTATTAAAAAATAGTTGAGAGCAATCATTAAAAATTGGTCAAATATAGATTTTGCTTTTGGTGAGCGACATACTCGTTCATGACAATGACATAGGTTCATGACATTGACATAAACCATAAAGTAATTTTGACAAAATTAAAAATATTCGATTTGCAATAAAACTTGCTTTTGGTTTTCAGCAACTTTTCTCGCTTTTTCTGAAACTTTTCCTACCATATTTTTTTTCACATAGGGATGTTTGAACATAAATTAACTTAGTATAATTAAACATTTCGCAAACTAATGTGAACAAGTTAAAGTACCACAGAAGTGCGATGCTATCACACCTTCGAGTAAAAAGTGAATGAAATCAGACAATGGTCGTCGAGAGTAGGCTCCCATAGCGAAGAATCAAGGTCAAATTTGTCTGGCAAATCATCCAAATACACCTTCTTGAACCTGCAAGGTAATTTTTACTTTGTTCTTTAGATATAAGTGTTATTGTAGAATGGAAGGATGGATAGCTCATATGCCGTCTGGGGGAAAGAGTATGAGACAGTTCTCGGTGTTGTTATTGTTTTCAATGCCGCACGTACACTCTTCTTAATTGCTACTTCCGCAAATGAACAGAACAACTGTGGAGTAAGTGGCATGACAGTCATATAGCATTTGAAATTTAACTTAGACAAATTAAATAGATAGGATTAATTATTATAATTTACATAATTTATCTAAGCTAACCTACTGAAAATTCAGTTACTAAATAAAAATAAACTAATTTCTTGCGTGTTATTACTCTTATACTGTACTTCACGTTAAGCTGAAAAGTATCAGCAAATACAGTGGCGGATGGCTGCCACTGTATTTAACCTACTGTAAATAAAATAATTTTCTAAGAGTTTGATACAGACTACTCTATAGTGTTCCATGTTCTTTATCGCCATTAGTGTATCAGCTTTCGCTCAATTGTATTTATAGTTTCCAGTAATCCTTCGATTGAGCTTTACTTATTGGTTTGTAATTTTATCTACAACAAGTTCAGTACGCGTCATCACACGTGTGAAAATATTTGAAATTTTCCGGTATTTGCATTTTTCATTCATGCTCCGCTCCTATTGGTCGTAGCATGACTATTGGTAATTGGCCTTCCTCGATAAATAGACTTCAACACAGAAAGATTTTTTGAATTCGAACAAGAGGTTCCAGAGATTTAAGATGATGATACTCGTAGATGTAAAATGTGATCTTTTACTTACTTATGTTGGAGCAAGCTTTCGCGAAATATCGTTAGAACTTGTCTCAGGAGACTTGGGAACATTGAAGTAATATCATTTATGTGCAAGTAGCAAGTAATGTTAGAAATAACAAAATATAGCACTTTGGAATATTCCAATGTACCTAATACACACACACACACACACGCACACATACACACATGATAATATAGTGGTAATTTCTCTTATCCAATCCAAATTTTCAATAATAAGACTATTAATAATGTTACTTAACTAGTATTATATAAACTCCATTTAACCTAATTAGTATAACACAGGGTGGAAAGCGCTGGCAGCTGTGACACAGTTTATACTAGTACAGCTGTCAACGTGTACCTCTTGTTAAGTTGTGTGGGTACGTAAGTACTTATCCATTATTTATCTGAGATGTTAATTATAAATTACACTTTACTTATAAGAGGA